CCCCTCCCCCCCACCCCTCCCCCTGGCGTCCCGCGGCGCACAGGACCAGGCTCTCGTCCGAGGCCCGCACGGCAAAAAGGTTCGAGTGCGGGCGCAATCCTGCCAAGTTTGCCATCGTCGCCATGGTCTTTTCTTTCTGATGAGGTGGTGATTAAGCGATTAGCAACAAGTACGTATCGACGGGGCGTGCACGAGCGAGAGCTATCTATGCGCATCGCTGATCTTGGGCGCGTTCTTGTCCAGCGGAAGAGTGCGGGCGCGCGCGTGCGTGCCCGTACGTCAACACATCCACGATTGCGAATGATGTCGAATGTGGACGACCCGACGAGCACATGACAGATCGTCGACCATAGCGTAGCGAGGCTCAGTCGTTCAGTCGCTCCGCACATGACGCACACACCTTCCAAAGGTGGATCAAAATGCATTCGGACAGATGGGGACGTGGGACAATGCGATGGGACATGGACATAGTGAAGAGTACGATGGAGTGGAAATGAGATAGCGGCAATCGTGGCGGGAAAATGTCTGGATGTGAAAGCTAAGATTCGTGATGGCCGGTGACTTCAAATATTAGAGCGAAAAAGGGGCGTCTGTGTCGATGGGTGGTTTTGCGACCGCCAGACCCGACATGAGAATAGAGAATGATGAGCGTTCGTTCGTATGATGGAAGGCATGGTTCTTGCACGCCCAAGGCCGCAGCTCGAGCGCCACTTGAGAGCGTTGTTGTACAAAGTTGAGCGATGCTCGGAGTAATGACAGGGACAAGACTAGGCGACAAAATCCCACTCGCTACCACTCTCGTAGAACTCGCTTGCAGACGCAGGGGAGTCGTAGCCGCAGGTGGATGTGGGGTACGACGAAGGCCAGAGCGAAGTTGGCGTGGTCGGGTTGGAAGCCGTTGGAGTCGTGATGGCCGTGCTGCTGCCAATGCTCCATGCATCCGAGGAGACTGTGGAGCTTGTAGAAGTGGTCGAGGAAGTACGAGGACCGGTCCACTGAGATGCTTTGATGGTTCCATTGCGTGTTGGACCGCCACTCGTGCGACTGCCTGCTGGTGGAGGACTGGGACTGGGACTTGGACTGGTCTGAACCAGTGCAGGCGTTACAAGAGGAGGTCTCGAGTTCGAGAGCGCAGCCTTGCCGAGTGCGCTACCGGACACGGCCTTGCTTCGACCTCTTGGCGACACGTTGCCACCGTCGTCGTCGTCGTCATCACCACCTTCTTCCTCTGTCTCTGTCTCTTCGTGAGCATCTTGGATCGTCGGACGTCCACATGAGAAGTCCTTGCCGAAAGGCGCGCCGCTCGAGCTGCTGGTAAAGTTGGACTTGTGGAGGGCGAGATGACCCGGCGACTGTGTTCTCCGGGCGACGTCGGCTCCACCCGCACTCGACCTCACGCGATCCGGACTCCGAGATATGTCCCTCGCCCCAACGGTGCGACTACTCGCCGAGCTTCCAGCGCTGTAGTCTCGAGCTGCACTGCCACGTCCGGCTGCAGAGCCATCGTAAAGGTCTTTGGGCACATTCGGTGGGCTCGGGCTTCCTGACACACTCGACGGAGCGCTTGCTGTGGGGCGTGACATGCCAGGCAAAGGTGGTGGCGGCTTGCTGAGTCCGAATCTTGCGATCAAAGGATTGACGGCACCGCTCGCTGCACCGCTCGGTCGTGGACAACAGCCTACTTCGGGTCTAGCAGCGCCGATGATGGGTGACGTTTGGCGGCCAGCCGGTGCGCCAGGCTCGCCATAGCCTCGAGAGAAGCAGCCACCGGGTCCATTTGGTTGACTCCTGGAGTTGTAGCGGAAACCTGTGCCAGTGCCGATACCAGCGAAACGGAGAGCACGCTCCCTTTCCTTTTCGCGTTCCAAGCGCAAGTGTTCGGCCGGCGAGACTGCGGCCTTATCTGTTGCACGGTCGGGCGAGTTTGGCAAACTGCTGTCGATGGTGAATCGGTTGCGGCAGAACGTGCTCGGGGACGAACTGGCGATGCTGTCTGCGCGCTTGCGGTCGTTGTTCGATGCGGCCCCGAGTGGAGGAGGGGCGAGCAGAGACGACGATGGAGAAGACAGGGGAAAGCCATCTTCTCCAGTAACGAGCGAGCCGCCGGTGCCGATGGGCTGCTGATCCTCTTCCGTTGCGCTTTCGTCTTCTGATCCAGCGACGGCGCTGGAAGAGGCAGCTTGAGCAGCAGTCCGCGTCTTGCTGGATGCCATGGCCGCCCACTTCGCTTCCAAGAGACCCATTTCGACGTGCATGTCTCGGAGCTCCTCCACATCCTCGGGGCTGAGACGATTGCTGGGAAGGCAAGCCTTTCGATCATACTCCACTGGGCTGTGCGTCCTGAAAGACTCGGGTGGGCCAGGGCTGAAGCGGACATGAGCGCGCCCGCGACTGGCGGTAGAGGTGACGCTCTCGCTCTCCGAGGATGAATCCATACCGCTTCGCATGCCACAACTACTGAGTCTGCCCATGCTTTGCGTGGATTGTGCAGATGCTCTGCGACGGAAGCATGGACGCAGAGGCACCTTGGGCTTCGTCTTGGTCGGCGAAGAGCTTCGGCGATCACGACCAGAATTGGAGCGCGGACGTTGATTGGGCGTGCCAGGAGGCGTTGTCGGTGGCGATGTATCTGCAATTGACGAAGCGGTCCTGGTGCAAGAGACGTCTGACCCAGTTGCCGTGCGGGTTGGAGATGCTGGCGCCGAAGCGTGGCGTTCCGAGTCCGCGGTTTCAGGCACGGCAGAGGCTGCTTCAAGCTTGGCAGCCAGGGATGGCATGACCGCGGCCTTGGAGAGCGGAGATGGGGCGATCAAGCCGTGATTGTGTGGCTTGATAGTCTCAACACTGGCGTCGATGCCTGGGCTGTCCTCCTTGTTTTCCGCTTGCGTCTGGGCGGCTTCTTCGTCCACGGAAATGCACTCGCAGAGGGGACTTGGCACCGCCGGAACAGTCTCACTAGGGCTGACGCATCGTGGTGGAAGAGCAGGCGGACCGGTGAATTCAAACTCATTCCAAGCTTGGCTGTGGGAGAAAGGCGTTGGAGTCGCGGGCGAAGCCTCTACTTCCTCCTCTGTGGATGTTGGCGGCGTCACCAAAAGTGGGGGCGTTGCAGCAGCACTGCGTGAAGGAGCGGGTCCGACTGAGCCACGCGAAGCACGGCGCTTCGCGCTAAGAACGGTAGGCGTGCTGACATCGGCTTGCACCAGATCGCGCGTTGCTACAATATCGTTGACGGTTGGATTTGAGGACGGAGGAGCAGTGCTTGTGACTTCACCAGCGGTGCCTTCATCCAACAGCTCCGCCACTCGACCTTTGCGCCGTCGAGCAGCTAGGCCAGGTGGAGCTCGCATGACATGTCGAGAGGCATGACTAAGACCGTGACCGCCGTTTCGAGGGGAGAAGTGAGGCAAGAGTGGAGCTGCGGCAGAGATGCCAGAGTGCTGCGTAGCGTGTTGGACAGCGTGCGAAGCAAGTGCGGTTCCTCCCGAGACGCGACGCCGGCCTGCAAAGGCACTTCCGTGTTCCAGCCCAAGCCCATGACGAGGCGCGGGAGTCTTCGACGTGGCCTCCTTGCCCTCCGACGTTGCTGGCTTGGGGCTGACAGTAATGTCGGCGGAGCTAGCTGCATTCTCTTCGTCGCATTCGCTGACTGTCTCCAGCTCAGGCTCAAGAATGCTGCCGCCGTCGAGGTCCAGATCTTCAACATCTGCCAGATCGCCTCGACGTACGCCGGGAGCAACGAAGCTATTCCAAGATGATAGAGATGATGGACTATCCAATGGTTCGTAGTCGGACTCAGCTTGCGAATAACCGCCCATCGACGATGCTACGCTGCAGCTGGGCGAGGGTGGGAGGTGCAGAGGTGATGGATGCAAGTGGCCATCATGCGAGCGGTTGTGCTCGGGAGAGGAGCCGTACAGAGAGTGGCTCATAGGTGAAGCGGGTTGCGAAAAGCGTGTTTGAATTTCCAGAGCGGTGTTTGGCTTGCAGGCGAGATCCGCGTGCGAAATGGTTGGCTCCCGAGCCCTTCCTTTGATGGTCCCCTCACCATCTTCCTCAGTGCGGCATGGCATCCCGGCTTGCACGACACTTCTTCCCGGCTCAAAGTGAGCGCCCGGAATGCTGGTGCTACTACTATCGCCAGGCTCGTCGGCTCCTTCTGCGTCGTCAATGGACGACAGGGAGCCGACGAGAGATCCACCAACAGGCCTCTGAGGCTGCGGTGCTGCAAGTGCACTCATTGTGAAACAATGCGGAGAGGGAAAGTCTATAGGCGAGAGGTCGGTGGATCAGCGTACACTCGCTGCCGAGGTTCGCTGCAGAGCACTTGCACTTACCGATAAGAAATCAGCTCTCGGCTGAGAGGTAGGCTGTTGAGATAAGGTGCAGGTTGCTGCAGATGTCCGTTGCGGGCAAACCGATCGATGGGATGTTGAAGTTGGTGAAGGAGAGGGGAGAATGAGAAAGCTTCGCTTTTTGAGCGTGTTAGAAGCGCATTTGGTGATCTGATGTCTCCATCGTATGTCCCCCTGTCGCAGCGAGCGGAGGAAGCTTGGTGGCGGGGAGCACAAAGGCTCCGGTCTGACTTATGCCGACGATGGCGAGCTGAAGCTGCCTAGGATGGTGGATCTGGACGAGCTAAGCGATGATTCCGCAGGCACCTAAATCAGAATGTGTAGAGATCGGTGTGCGTGGGGGAGGAGCAAGCGTGAGCAGCAGCCTTGTGGACATTCGAGTGTGACAACTTCTCAATTGGAGCCTCCAACGCGGAAGATGAAGCATGCTGTGCTGCTATACAGCCAGAAATCCAAGACTTGCCTGCATTTTGGCCGTGGACGCTCAAGACTCGATCGCGAGCACGAAAACAGTCAAAACACGGGACCACCTCGTGACTGGTCATCCGCCTGCTTTTCGTGCTCGATCCCGTTGATTGTGCGATGCAGGCGAGGCGCGCGACGCAGCGACGGCGGCGCCTCACACGATCCCGTGCATGCATGCTGCTCACAAATGGTATGTAGACCATAGCCGCTTTTGTAATCGAGGTTTCAGAACCACGTCGGGTGCTTAAATTTGTAAACAAGCGTAGTTTCGTGGTTTGATTCCAGACCACGCTCCCTTAATTGTCGTGCCCCAAAAGGGGGGACCACCCTCCTTGCCCTCGATTCGGTCCACTACCGTGGGCTGCCATCAAGTACCAGACGAGACATGCAAAGCCACACACACAGGGGACGTGCGGGCAGCAGGCATCAGCCATCGCACATGCCACCGCGTAGCATTCAACAGATCACGCTCACGCTCCCTTTCGGCTCTCGACTTTGCCTCATTCCGAATCATCGACACGTCGTACATATCATCTAGACTCAAGACTTGATTGCCTAGCTGCTCGATGGGATGGGCAGAGGGTCAGGGCATAGGGGAGCGAGCGTACGCGTGCATGCGTTGCCGATCGCGGCGGACCAAACCCTACGCTACGCTTCAGCTCGATGTCTCTATTCAAATTCACCTTCGCGCTTGGTGCCGCTGCTCATGCAATATACGCGTGCGTGGGGCAGGCGAGCGGCATGTGCTTCTGAGACCTGCCAATCGCGACGATATCGTCCATCCTTCACGTTCGACCATCCCTTTTCCAGCAGTCAGATCATGTGTGGTCCAGCTGCTCTGCCGCACATCCAGTAGTCAGTCAGTGAGCCTCAGGTCGGCAGAGTTCAGAGCGCTGTTTCGGGACAAGGTCGCATGTGCTCTCGTTGATTCACGAGGTCGTAGGATGTGACGCTTGCGGGCGCGTTCATGAGCACAGGTCAGAATTATGAATGCACTGATCAGCACTACGCGACTGTAACAGCATGCAGCAGCAGCAGACTCACGACTAGATAGCGGTGGCGCTTGTGCCGCGGCGACTTAGATCGAGTCCATTCCTTGCTGTACGTGTGTGTACGTATACGACGGTATCTACAGGTCTGATGAAAGTCGAGTAGTTTGGCTCACACGCGACGCGCCAAGAATTTCACCACCCACGTCATGATTCTGATGATTGATATGGTTTGTACAGCAGCGTCGTCCACAACGTATTTGCGATCGGGCATAGCTGGTGCTGTGCATGGGTCTCCGTGAGCTTCACACAGCGCATCATGGCTGCTGTTGAGGCAGCAAGCATATCTTGCATTCACAGTCACGAATTCATCAGATTCGTGATTCTGTTTCTTGGACCGTGATGAGCGGTAAATCATCAGATGCGTCACTCGTGACCCACGATCGAGGATGAAGGTCGTGCCGAGTATCGCTATGTGGGCCTGAGCACGCAGGTCAGCCATGAGCAAAGTTGCTTTTCAAGCTCGTTCTCGTTAAACACCTTGACGATACAAATTCTCTCACCAAGGTATAGAACGGGTCAGCAACGACGACACAAAAGAATGCGCATCACACATTGAAAGGGAGTGCCGATTACGTCAGGTGAACTGGAGACTGCGCCTCGCCAGGCATGCGTTTGGTCACTTTTCCTCTTGCTGCGTCGCACTCGCCAGTCTGCAACACAGCTTTCATTGGCCGCACCGCCCATGCATGCACACAACCCTCCTGGCAAGCGGAGTCTGTTGTGCAAGAATTCACGATTCAGATTAGAGTCACGAGTGGTGAGTGCGCGTCTAACTGCGTTCAAGAAAACGAGCAAGCGCGAACAGCTCATGCGCCCCTCGCCCAGAAGCTGTGAGGCTGGAATTCAGACGAGAGCGGCCAGCAGCATGTGGAGGAGGAGGCGCGCTGGCCCACATCATTCTTTCGTGATTTTCACATTTGCGGAGCAACCGTGTGGCTGGCGCATGATGCAGCAGCTTGAGCCAAAGCTCAAAATCACACCATCGGCTCGAGAAAAGGGGTTTGGCGTCGAGTGCTGGCAGCAGCAGCAGCAGCAGCAGCAGCGGTCATATTTTTGAGCAAGTAGTGTGGGTCACTCGGGCCAGGCCCCGCACGACATTCTCAACGATCGTGTCAAATTTGAATCGTATACCGTAGAACGCATCCTCATGACTACTGCGCCTTGAGTCGTGTCTGCATGTATGTGCGTGTGTGTGCCGCAAAAGGTGGACACCTAGGGCATTCGCGCTGGCTTGGTGCGTCGATTCGAGAGAGTTGAGCGGGCTGCTGCTGAGAAATGCCGGCCGCGCGTCGTACAATCACAATCTTGAATCGTCGCCGCGCATAGCGTTGCGGTTTGCTAGCGCGGAAGAAGTCCGCGGTTGCTTCTCCGACGCCTCCGTCAGCGCCTTTGATCCACGCTTCAACTCACAGCACGTACTCGTGACTGCATGGTGCGTCCATCGCACCCAGCACGTCTCCTCGCGACGGGTCATCGGGTCCACAAGTCCGCAAAGAATGTCATTCGCTCCAACGTGCGCAGCGCACGGCTTCGGATTGATATGAAGGTCATGAAAGCGTGAGGGAGTAAGTCTAGTCACGAGTCTTTGAATGAGGCCCATCAATTCAAAGTTGTTCCGCAGAACATCCTCGAGCAAGCTGATCACGTGACCTCGGCTCGTGCCTCCCTTGCCGGCCGGCCGGCAACCCTATATAGCTCATCTATGTACCGTAGGGCACTATGCGGTTTCCCCGCATTCGTCCCTTTGGGGGAGACTGACGCTCTACCACACTTTACAAGACTCGCATCTTGACATCTCAACGATTCCAAATGGCATGATGTCGGGAAGGCTGTCCACCAGAAGGACTCGATCAAAGCTGCAGTACAGGCACTGTTGTATCCGTCCAGGCACTCTGCATGCTACAACTTCTGCTCCACTTGACCTGGTTCGCCCTGTATAAAGAAGCTTTGTTGCTCTCGCGAGCATGTCTGAGGCATCAGCAAGCCGACCCAGAGCCATCGACGAGCAGCCGAAAGCCTCCATCCATCGCGGCAGTATGAGCCGCATCTTTATGCGCTCTCGAGCTACGCGCGTAGCTAGTCGACCGTCCACATCGCCAGCCCCACCAACCAGGCGCCACGCTGTCACGCAAGAGGAAGGATCGCAACTCGAGGATATCTCGGCCGACAGGCAGCCTCACGATGATCGTACGTCTGGATTCTGCGAACGAAGCGACAAGGAAGAAAGCCCAGAAGGCTACAGCTCTATGCTACACTTTGTCGAAACAGGTAGAGAGAACCGCTGGCAGCGCAGAACGGTGGAAGGAGAAGGTGGAGAACGAGATGCGGACTCCAGGCGAAGAAGCAGCTCTCGTGGATCCTTCCTGGGGCGCTCGCGCGAACCCATCATTCTCAACGCGTCGCGACCAGGGAGCAATGACGAGTACGTGGACGAAAGCGAAAGCCGGACGTGGGAGAGCACGGGGCATGGTTGGCTAGCAGGAGGCGCACCGCTGGACGGCATCGACGAAGGACGCACGGGCAGACGATGGAGAAGCACGAGTCGTACATTGCGAGAAGGCGGCAGCAGCATAAGTCCAGACTCGCGACGTGGTCGAGGCGACTCTCGATCGCAATCTACAGGACGTTATGGAGGCGGAAGAGCCGGTCGATCCACGAGTCGAGCACCGGCGCTCAAAAAGGTGGAAGATGATGAAGGCGAGGGCAGAGGACGCTTGTCTCCCATCGAAAATGGGACACTCAAGAAGGCGCATTTCGAATCTACGCGCAGCACCGAGCAGAGCTCCTCTCTTTCAGGCGACACCCATGCCGCTCCCGAGCCTTCCGCCGCAAAGAAGGAAGAGATTGCTGCACCGTCCCGCTACCCGAACCTTCTAAAGAGCTTCATCGGCAAGCGAGAAGCAGGACAAACACCAGTGCTGCCTCTGGTCAAGCATGTCCCTCTAACCCTAGAAGTTTGGATATGGGCATGGATCGGTGCCCTCGTGCCCATCGGCGCCATCTCAGCTCTGTTCAGCCACGCAAACTTGTTCGCTGCCGATGGACCAGCCCCTACGCCATGGGCATCGCCAGTGATTGTGGGCAGCTTTGGCGCCAGTGCTATTCTGCTCTTTGGTGCGCCTGCGAGTCCGCTAGCTCAGCCGTTCCAATTTGTGGGCGGCCAGATGGTCAGCGCCTTTGTCGGCGTTGCCGTGACGAAACTTTTCGAATTGAACAGTCACTATAAGATTTCCGACACGGATCAAATGGGCAGCCTCGTCTGGCTCGCTGGAGGCGTGGCAGTGGCGACGGCCCTGCTTGGCATGTTCATCACCAAGTGAGTGGTTCGGCCTATCATTCGCCACAATGAGATTGGGAAAGTGCTCAACCTTCTCTGGCTTCTTCTCTGATAGCACCGTGCATCCTCCAGGCGGTGCGACAGCCCTCCTAGCCGCGACCTCGCCGCCCATTACGAAACTAGGTTGGCGGTATCTCGTAGTTGTGTTGATTTCCAGCGGCATCATGTTGTCGTGGGCTCTCTTCTGGATGAATCTGGGTCGGCAAGCATACCCAGGACAGAGCTGGATTCCACCGCCTGGTCCAGCGAGGGCGCACTCAGTGTGGGGTATTTTCGATGCTGCAAGAGCCAAAGCTAGGGAAGTAAAAGAGCACAAGCGTCAAGAGGCTGACAAGGAGCTGGCTGTGCAGTAGGCCTAGTGGCGGATGAATGCAATCACGTTGTCTTGTCGTATCTCTGCCAGCTGTGCCCTTGTGTCTTCCGTCAAGCCAACAATCGCCCTTTGCATAAGCGATCGAATGCCAGCCCTCATGATCTTCATGTCTGCATAAGCTGAAATTACCAAATTTACGCTCGAGAGATAGAGTCCACCCTTTGGACTGGCGATTGTGAAAGGTTGTGCTGTGCTCGCACGACCAAGGCAGGCTTGCGGGGGTGCGGATGGACTTGCGCGTAATCGCTGTGATCGCGTTGAATGAATTTGCTTCAAGCTGGTCCTCGGAGAATGAGGAGACGAACGATGCCCCTGTTCAATGCGAATGAGATGCTTGTCTATCCCCCGCAGTAGCAGCAGCGTCCAAAGCAGCCAAGTGATCGACCAGATCGTCCATGGGTCCTCTCTCCGCTGGCAGAGGTACATTCTTGCTTCTAGCGCTATCCGGCAACAACGTCTGACCGCTTGTCCAACCAGGAGCGACCTTTCTGAGCTCTTCCCTCTTCAACTTTTCTCTCTTTTCCCTTTGCTCCAAAACGAATTGTTCGAGGGTGAATGGGTAGACAAAGTAATCTTCGAGCCTGGGAGGCAGAGGATGAAGGTCTTTTGGAGCTGGAATGGGAGGTGGGACGCGGAGAGAGGGATCTTTGATCAGTGGGACTTGAGACGTGGCAGCGTAGAGAGAGGGAAGAGCTGATTGTGATGCTTGCGTGCTGTTGCCGTTCTGATAATTGCCGCTAAACGACGATGTCGCAGGATGGGATGAATCGGCAGGCGCGTTGGCCCAATTGCCGTAAGCTGGAGAGGCCATGCTAGTTCGAAGGACGTCAGGGTGATGACGAATGGATGAGAGCTTCGGGTTAGCAGAGCGATGCGACTATGGGATGCGATCGACTGCTTGTACTTTGTGGAAAGCGGTGCTGAGCGTGAAGAAGACAGACGTCTGTACGGCCGAGGCTGGGCTCGCGAGTTCAGTGTGAGTTGGATGCACTCTCACGACTTCACTCGTGACAGGTGTTCGCGTCGGCCCGCGGCTCTGCAGCCCGCACATGGGTGCGATGAGCTATAAACGATCACGCGACTTCGAGAGCCTGGATCGTCTCGATGCGATCTACTTGCACATTAGAAGATGTTAGATTGTTGTTCAAGTTCCCTTGTCAGATGCAGTCAAAATCAAGCTCGAGATTGGCAAGGATGGTCTGGATGGGGCCCAAGCCCAACGAGTCAGCGTCATAGCATTATATCAAGTCAGTCTGAAGAAAAGGCCGTCGGTCGCTGGGCCCATGTCATAGTCTGCTTGGGACGCACGCAGCCTCTCTTTCCGTCATAGCGCAGTAAGAAGTCAGGCCAGAACAAGAGAGTTCATGATAGAAGCAGAAGCAATTTCAAGCACACACACGCATACACGCAGTGGACGTCTCGTGGGCTCATCGAAGCATTTTGTGTAGGGGAGGTTGTATGTTTACATCGTATTTTCCATCTTTCTCTACCTTCTGAATTTGATAGCTTAGCGCAGCACGCGAGGGACGAAGTCGCGGGCGTGCAGGCTTAAAGCTCCTTCTAGAGAAGGTATGACATGCAGGCTTTGGGATGACTTGACGAAGCTTGCGTATTGCGAGGCCTCGAGCACCTCTTTGAACGCCTTCATGATTTCACATTGACCCTCATCCAAGGGTGATTCTTGCGAGCAGCGTGCGTGACCCTCCAATCGTGTGTGATCACTGGCCCGGTGGTCCGTAGCTGCTTGGGACAGACAGAAAAGGATCATGTCAGATACAATCGGCCAGTAGCACAAGTTCCCTGTGTGTAATTCTCACCCTGGAGGAGGTCTGAAACCGCCTTGAAAGCCGGGTGGGGGTCCTCCAGGCATTCCAGGCGGTGGGCCGAATCCAGGAGGAGGGGGTCGTCCAGGCATTCCGGGCGGAGGTCCTCCAAAGCCGGGAGGGGGACCACCTGGCATGCCCATCCCCGGTGGTGGGCCTGTCGGAGGAGGTCGACCGTACGCCATAGGACGCGCGCCCAGCGCTGTAGGGCCGCCTGGGCCTCCGGCCATGGGCAGACCCATACCTCGCCCTGCTGGAGCGCCACGTCCAGGTCCTGGTTGGAGCTGCATTTGAAACAGGGCAGAATATGGTCAGCATCAACCGAAAGCTTCAAAGATATTGGAGACTGCTGTCGCGTGGGCGAAGCAGTGGCTCGTTTGCGGGGAGGTCTCAAGTGCATACAACCCTCCAACAGTCATTCTATGTGTGCAATAGAAAGACAGCAGCCGTCGCTTGATCCAGGAGATACGCCAGAGTGATATGATGAGACCGAGGCATTCATCGACTGGTCTGCTCTAAATCCCCAACACATCTTGACCGTTCAGGTACTCACACCTGGCCCGCTTGCTACCTTATCAGCGGGAGGAGGACCATCGACGCTTAAGCTGACGACATTTTCTCCTCTCAAAATGATCAGGCCAAGCGTTCTCTTCTGCTCCGGCTCTGGAGCCTTGACCTCTTCATCGTCATCATCTTCTTCTTCTTCACCCTTCAAACCAGCAGACGCAGCTTTGCGCTTCTTTCCTCCTCCTTTCCTCTTCAACCTGCGGAACTCCTCCGTGTCGGCGAGGATGAGATTCATGTGGGGGTCGAAAGCTAACATTTGACCAGTCAGTTGTCGACCATCGTCCAGAGTTACCCGCAATCTGTAATTGATGAGCGACATCATCTTGCCTCCGGCTGCTTTCGAGGGCGGCATCTTGGACGACCTTAGCGGAGGCTAACAGTAGACGCAACGAGGGGGCTTGTGAGATGGTCAAAATGGTTTACTGTAGCCAATGGTCTATGATTGGCCTCTTGTATGCGCGGCAAATTCAAATGTCGAACAATTGCCCTACGTGTGGTGTGATGATCCGGCCAGAAGGCTCAATTGCCTCGAGGGGGTGGCACTTCGGAACGAAGAGTCGACTCTGCAGAGACTTGCGCTCTACGATGGGCTGTTCTTGATCGAGGAGGAAGCAGTGCCGAACGTTACAACTCTCCTTGCTGATTGTTGGTGATAGTAGCACTGAAGAGAGAGCTCGGCAGAGTGTGGGCCAGATGATGGCGTCCAAGTTGAATGGGATGACGGGATGGATGACTTGATTGTGCGGCCCTGAACTTGACTCGCGACGTACTCACGACTCAACATGCAGAGCGAACGATGAGAAGAACTCACGACTCGTGACTTGGATGCATGGCATGGATGCTCGTCGCGACTACTCACGACTGTGACTGGCTCGCGCTGGTATATGCATCCCACTCGTGACTTCTCTTCTCTGCTGCAGTTAATCTTCCAGCCTGGCGCCGACGCGCGCAGCTACGGATGGGCAGCGATAGCTCACCCTCCATGAAATTCATCACGCAACGGCATACCGGTACGAGCGATGGATGAAGCTACTCTCATTTGTGATCAGGCTTCATCAGCGTCCGTCACGACTCACTTGCAGCCGCCATACAATCCGGGAACGGAAGCTACAGGCTATCGGTACCAACAACATGACATCTTTTGCATTGCCCTTGCGCAGCCTCAAATGGGCGTCCACGGGCTCTCAACTTGCGAGAACGCAGCAAGCAGGAGCCAGATGCTGCTCCACCTGTAGCACCTCTACAGCACCACGTCATGCCCGGGCGACCACGTCGTCGAGAGCTGAAGGCGTTGGACTGCATGCTGAAGCATCTGCCAGCGGCCCCGCGAGCACGTCGAGTCATTCCCGAGGCGCACAGAACATGTTTCGTCAATTTGGCTCGGCGCTGCGACCCATCCCCCAGTCTATCACCTCGTCACTGATCTCATCCACCCGAGCGAGCGCAGTAGCCGCTTTGGCTACTCTGCAGCCAATGACTGGCACCACCGTTCCGATCAGAGGCATGAAGGTCAGGAGCTCGGTCAAGAAAATGTGCGATGGGTGCGCCGTGGTGAGAAGAAAAGGCAAGCTTTATGTCATTTGCAGCAAGGATCCCAAACACAAACAAGTGAGTGGAGTTTGGGACGTCCTGGGATGACAGGCGTATGCGTACGCATGGTCAAGGGTGGGACGCGATCGTAGTGGTGGAAAGAGCTGGGGGTGAAGTCTGTTTCAAACGCCCGTGGTGGTCACACGCTTGTAGTTCGTCAGCCCTGCTCCTGTTTCGCAAAAGCTGACGCCTCGGCTCCATATCTCCGCACCTCGCCTACAATTTGCAGCGTCAAGGCTGAGCTGCCTGACAAAATTTCCACTCACAGACGCTGCCATTTCTGCGCGAGTGAGGGCGCGTGTGCACAGGACGTCTCCCGCTCTCTCGACGCACATTATCCGATGTCGCTTTTCCAGAACATTGCGCTCACCTTTCCTGCATCGCAATGCTTACTCCTCACTGGTCACCCATGTCTCGCCACAATGTTCGCGCTGCTTGTGTTGGTGTCAGCGCCTGACAGCAATGCCAAAACATCCCTGAGATACCTTGACATCCGTCTGGACAGGTGTAAAGCATTTGACATGACCGTCATACGAATTGCGGCTTTTCAGAGAGTACACATTTGCATTCTTGCGGGCCATCGCTGCTCGACAGCCCAAATGAATGCTCCTAACATCCTCAGCTCCTTCTCAATCTCTCTGTCTGCGCCCGCTTTAGTTGACGAGCGCACTGATCGTCAGCGCAGGAATGATGTTGGCGAGAATGCAAAGTCGCGCTTGCTTGCCCTGATCGACCTTCCATTACGATTACTTCTTCTTTGCAGTGCGCAGCTGTATCTTCTCCCCATTTACGTATATTCCTTTGCCCTGAAGCGTAGAGTAAAAGCAAGCCAAATGAAAGGGACATCTGATCAGATCGAGAGTTCCACAAATTCATGCGCATGCCGCCGACTTTTCAACCCGCAGTCTGCATTGCTCTGTTCGTGGCGCAACTCACCTTGTACGGTTCTGGACGTCTCCACATCCTGATAGAGGCAGCAAACAGACCCAGATCTTCCTTGTCCGCGCCCCACAGTTTGATGACGGTAGGACTTGGGACAGCCACCGTGACGCCTCGAGGCACGGGAATGAGGACAGGATGAGAGTAACCCAATCTGAGGTGCAATCTCAATCTTGCCCTCTTTCCATCCGAGTCTTTCTTTACGTGCGCATCAAGTTCCGTGCCCGTCGATTGAGCTTCTTTCCACTGTTGCACGTGCGAAGCATAGAATTGGTTCTGCGCCGAGCTGGTAAAGTGCGTCTTGACTTTGGATGCGGAACCCTCTTCGATTGCTTGCAGCGCCAGCTCTACGTCGTCTAGCCTGGGAAAAGGATCTTCCTCCAGCGCAGCTCTGTAACCCACGCCCACCAGATCGAGTTGAAATTTGTGACTTTCTGTCACTCCTTGGATGGCGTTGAGCAGCTTGGCAGCTGTAGTGCCCCAGGCAGCTCTGACCTCTTTGGTATCCTTCGACTCCACGCCTACGAACAGCGTCCTGCTTGACGCCTCATCGCTGGATGGCGTTGCTGACTGGTTCGCGCCACCGACATCCAGGGCAGGGATGCCCTGTCCGGGACCAAGCAAGTGCGAGTCTTCTTCTTGCGGGCTGCCTCCCGCATCAGGTGCCTTTGGAGCTGCCGACCCAGCCGTTTCCGAGCCTTGTGCTTGCTTTCGCGTAAAGAGATAGACTTTGGGCAAGAGGGGCAGCAAGATCTGACCCACGGGTCCCTTGACCAATATAGAACCTTGTCCCTTCAACGTCTGCGGCAGAGGCTTCAAAGGGTTCGGTTGAGGCGGAAAGTCTAGTACGTCGATGCTGGCCGTGGGCGGAATGCGGATCCTCTGCTTGCCCACGTGCGAATGTCGAACTTGCTGGGACGCCGGAGCCCACACAGCGGCCAGCTGCTGACGCCGCGGTGCAGCACACCTGTTGCCAGCCGAGCTGAGTGCTGTCGCTCTGCTAGTCCTAGTCCGATCCAAACAGCTACTGCTGACGCTCCGCCGCGAAGCAAAGGTGTTGGCTGCTCGTCGAGGTAAGTGCAGAGCGCACTGAGACGTGGACGCAACGCCGCTACCAGGCAACAAGCCAGAAAACTTTCTACTTGAAGCCATCTCTTTTTTGCGATGTATAGTGATGGGTGCTGAAGCTGAGTGGTAAACGAGGAGTTACTTTTCGCCCCTCTTCAAGCTTCTGTTCGCGTAGCGACGAAGGGGCGAGATACCAAGGGTGCTGCTCACAGTGGAGTCGCACGAATCTCGTAAGCTCTGCAGTGCAGCAAATTGGCAGCGCACCGACGATGGGTTTGCCGAGCGCGCCCAGGTACACCGATGCGATGAAAAGCACTTTGAAGTCGTCGTTCTCTCAAAGATGTCGGATGGAGGACGCTATCCGTGATACACCAGGGGGTGGAGTTTGGAAGAATGAAGTGCGGGCGCGTTGCCGCAAGAACCTTACCTGGTCTCCTCACTCTGCCATTTTCACTCGTGCGAGAAGGCAGCCTGGCCCGGCGCTCAAGCGCGTTCTGCGCGCTGCGCAAGTCTGCTGCCACTTTCGTCATTCTTGCACTCTTTGCGCACCTCAGACACGCCCGAAGGCTGGAGGCCTGGCGCACTGACTTGACTTCGAGTCAGAAGTCGAGAGCATTGAGAAGAGCACGCAGTATCAGGAAGACCCTTCGAGGGCATGTCACACGAGAGGGAGACGCAGGTAAGCGTGGCTTCAGTGCGGCATAGATTGTGGAGCAGCGGTCGGCACACAGCTCAAGTCTCGTGCAAAGTTGGAGATTTTGAATTGGTGTAGTGTGTCAGTCCACCTCTTCCGATTCATCTACACCGTACCGCTCCACCCATCCGCCGTTGATTGCACTACTCCAGGCACATATGGGAGAAAGATCCACGCTCCCCGACCCTGAGTGCTGCTTCAGCTTCACTACAGGCGCATTCGCCTTGTGCAACAAGCTCACTCCCAAATCTGCCCCAGCGGCGAAGACGACTTCTAGTGGTCGTCTTAAAAGTGCGTCATGGGCTTCAGCCACTTGTCTGCTGCCTCAAACTGCGAGACCAGCTCTGCAGCGATCAAATCTTCCGTCTTGAGTGTCTGCGTCGTCTTGATGAGCTGCGAAACGTTAAATGAGTGAGGAGGTGATTAGTCTGTGTACATCTCGCAAGCCGACGGAGGTAATCGTCGCTACTGCAAGGTCAAGCGATTCCTCTCATGGACTACTCACCGCGTCCCAAAACCTGAAACCCCTTCTGAGCTCGTTCCTGATGTCCTTAACATTCTCGAACGGCCCTTCAATAATGCCCAACACCTGTTCAACGGCCTCCTTGACATCTTCCTCATTCTCCTTGCCCGGAAGTACCGGGCCATTGTTGAATGTGAGAAGTGCTTCGAGATAGCACTTCACCAAAATTCCCATGCCGGTGTTGGCATCCGACTGGAAAGGCAAAGAGAGGGAAATATCGAGGTAGTCGTCCCTGGCTCGACGAGCGTCTCCCCTAAGCAAGAGATTGGAGGCAATGCACTCGATCAGGGAGCGCAAGCTTCTGGACATGCTCTTTGTGAAGCTGGCAAAGAGCAGCAACTCTCGAGAGAGCGGCGCTGACCAAGCGGAAGGTCTAAAGCTCATGGGCAGAAGACTGAGGCACCGCATGATCAGCAAAAGGTGTTTGCGCGCATCCCGTGCATCCTGTCCTTCCTGTCCTTCGGCAGAAGTATCTCCCCAGGCGGGACCGCCGGACAGCAATCGCCCGCTGAAAGCATTGCCGTGCAGCGCACCCGCGCGCATGAGTTCCAGAGCAATGTACAAGGGTTCCTGCAGCTTGTCGTTCAGCCTAGCGCCCTCCAGACCTAGATGGAGAGCCCGGGCAAAGCCAGTGTGTAGATGATCATGGTTGAGAAATCCGCGGATCTCCAAGAAACGCCAAATGACGTTCGCCACCACTTCGTCCTTTTTCTCCAAGACTGGCTGTGCGGCAAGTGCATTCGACGCGCCGTTGCCATTCGTGACTCCAGGAGGAGCTGGCTTCGGACGGGCGGTCTTTGTGCGGGCGGCTAGACTGGCTGACCGAGTGCTGCCAAGGCAAAGAGCGATGTCGATCGTGCTGCTGTTCTGCCTCCGAAGCTCGTCCTCGATAAAAGCAACGCCGACATTCCAATTGTTGACGCGCTGCGCCACTTTGAGGGTAGGGATGCTGTCGTACGGAACAGGATGCTCCCGCGTTGTATCCCACCAGTACGTCGCCACGACTTTCCGCGACGTCCAAAATTGGTGCAGAGCATTGGCCATCAATGCCATAGAAACGCATCGCGGACTTTGCGGCAATTCTGTCAATTGCTCTCTGCAGAATCGCCGATACTCGTCGGTGGTGTCGGGGGAGAGAGGGGCCGGCTCATGAATGTGCTGAGATGCGAGTGCGGATACGATGTTGGGTCCGATGAGCCCTCGTGATAAATGAAGGAACACTTCGTCGGGTAAACGATGGCAAAAGATTTCGTGTAAATCTGAAGGAACGTCTGCCGCTGTCAGTATCGGTGCGAGCACTCCATTGGGAGCAAATGATGGCACAGCTGGGCTTGCCCCATTGATGCCAGGGGCGACGACCGCCCCCCCTTGCGAAGGAGGGGCACCAGGCTGTCCGCCGGCTGCTGGAATTGGCGGAGGCGGCGTAGCTAAGGGCAGGGGTAGCACTCTGCCTTCTTCTGCCGAGGCCACCAGCGCGAATTTGATCATGCATCTAGCCTTGCAGAAGAGGTCAGTGTACCCGATCTTCTGACATGCTGGATGTTTCTCGAACGACGTGCACAGAGTGTACCCGCTCCGATACGACTTCAACACCTCAAGTGCGGCTCGAATATTTGGTGTAGGCCCGGAACCACCGGTCAGGATTGAACCTGTCGCAGCAGAGCTCTCGCCCGGGATGACCACACCGGGAAAGGTGCCATCCAGAAATGGTGGGAAGGTAGGGCAATGCTCGAACCCGCAGAGAAGCCCCAAATCCAAGAACTCCTCTTCAGTGCATCCTAGCGACTGCAACAGAGCCGGTTTGGACACGAATGTGAAGCTGCCTGGCCCAGTTCCTTTGTGTAGATCTTGCAGATCCAACGAGAGCACCAATCTCTCCACACGGTCGAACAGCAGCAAAGAAGAGGGTCCGTAGATGGCATGGACATATGACTTTGAGTGCCGCTCTAAAGATACCAACTGGTGAATGCAACGATCCCAAGAGGGTCAGTGAGATGTTTTGGCTTGCACCATCGGATGCCTACTGACCTGCCCATGAGCCCCATAAGGTGCAACAAGGAATTCGATATTGCGATGTCTAAATGCTCGAAACACGGCGCGAATGAGATCAGACTCCTTTATGCTTCCCGATTTGGCAAGGTGGCTGTTTGTCAGCTCTGTCTCGTCCCTCTCGTATGCTTCCCACGCCAATCTCCTCTGCTCTGCGGCTGCTACTGGGTCGTCAATCCCGGCCCCTACAGCTGGCGGCGGCACGTATGTTTGCTTCTGTTGCTGCTGAGGCTGCTGCTGGCCATTGCTCGACTTCTGGCCAGCAGCATTGGCATTTGCCTGTTGTCTCTTGGGACCCGTCCCTGTGGGCGGCAGGCCATGGAGTACGAAGACAGGTTTGATCTGAGCCTGCTCCAACGCTCGAAGATCCGCTTCGATATGGCTGCTCAAGGCCAATGGTGATCCGCTGAGCGCAGCTGTCAGGGGCTCGGCTGTGCGCGGGCTACTGAGGAGCAGTCGCAAGTAGAGTGATAGGTCGATGCCGAGGCGGGTCTCTCGCAAAGCAGTCAATGGTGCTGTCTGCAGCAATCGCGATGCTGCGAGGTAGGAGTCCAAGCCGCTGATGGGCATGGCGGGCAAAGGCTACAGGATGTTCGAGTCTCGCTGCGAGTGTTGTTGCGCTTCAGATCTGCCATGAAAGGCCGCAGAGTCGACGTGGTCAGGAGAGCTCACAAAGGCACGCACGGAGCGATCAAGGCCTGGATCGTGAGCTGCCCATGGACAGGCTTGCGCAGACGTCCTTCTTCGGGTGTTCGGCGCAGACTGTCGAGGTGGACGTCGCACCTCGGGGCAATGCCAGCCTGGATCCGCTCGGAGGCGCAGTGCGAGTCGCAACGTCGTCGCGAGTGGGTCGTTGCGATGGAGCTGCGACGCTGCTGGAACTGCTCCGAGTCTGGATGATGCAAGAGACGTCTGGATGGATCAGGACGTTGTCGCTTACTGTGCTGCGATTATGACCGTCCTCGTGACTAGCAGGTGTGGAAGCATCGTTGTTAGCTGCAGATCGCGCGTTGCGGTTGTCGGGCGGCCGAAGCTGTGCCGCCAAGCTCGCATGCAGCAGCAGTGAGTACACGCCCTCCCGCTCTGGTGGCTGCTGAGTGGTCCCCTAGCTGTGCCGTACCGGTAAGTGCATGTGCTGCATAGATGGACTCACGGTTGAACGGTGCAGCAGTGAGTAGTGGCTGCTCTCGTTGCGGGGATCACCATAGGCGCCGGCTCAACGCCATAAGCCGCGCGCCCACGTGGTTCGCTCGGATGCACGCTGGTGAGCGAGCTGCCCCGTGCGAGCCAAGCCAGAAGTCCAGAGTTGCGCCATGCATCCGTCGTTCATTTCCTCGGTTTGGTTTCCGAAAGGCGTGCTCTCACGCAAAGCTTCTCGGGGTCTCTTGAGACTTTCCGCATAGTCGTTCCGAATCTGGCTGGACCCATTGTATTCTCTGCCATCACCACATCGTCACACATCAATCTCACTCACACTCGGCGTTTCCGACATCCCATTCGACTACGCATGTCATCGCCCCTGCGTCGCCTTTCGCAGCAGACTAGACACCTCGCAGCTCAAGCAGCTCCTCTTGTTTCAAGCTCTGCCACCATGTCGGACTTCAAGGTGCGCCAGGTCGGTGCTCCCAACACACTCGGTGAGTCACGCGCGGAGATGTAGAAGGTGAAAGAATCCGCTTTGGTGGATCAACAGCTCACGTGCTGCTACTACTGGCTGGTGCCACTACCAGAGTACCGCGTCTTCTTCGAGGATGGCCAAAAGAAGCCCATTTCCCCCTTCCACGACATTCCCCTCTTCGCCAACGAGGCCAAGACGGTCCTAAACATGGTTGTCGAGATTCCTCGCTGGACCAACGGCAAGCTCGAGATCTCCAAAGAGGAGACTTTGAACCCAATCAAGCAAGATGTCAAAAAGGGCAAGCTACGCTACGTTCGCAACTGCTTCCCTCACCACGGTTACATTTGGAACTACGGAGCCTTTCCGCAGACTTGGGAGGACCCTTCTGCTACTCACCCCGACACCAAGGCCAAGGGTGACAATGACCCTCTCGATGTGTGCGAGATCGGAGAGCAGGTAGCATACACCGGTCAAATCAAGCAGGTCAAGGTCCTGGGCGTGATGGCCCTCCTCGATGAGGGAGAGACCGACTGGAAGGTTCTCGTCGTCGACGTCAACGACCCTCTCGCCTCTAAGCTCAATGACATCGAGGACGTTGAGCGCCACCTCCCTGGTCTCATTCGGGCTACCAACGAATGGTTCCGCATCTACAAGATCCCTGACGGAAAGCCCGAGAACCAATTCGCGTTCTCGGGAGAGGCCAAGAACAAGGTGAGCGGTAGTTCTGTCTACTCCAGTCAGACTGATACTGTAGCTGACGGCTGCCTTTGCACTCGCTTTCGATCAGAAATACGCTACGTAAGTATGCGTAGCTTCATTCACTGCCAAGATATACTGCTGACCTCCATTTCGACCCTTGCAGCGAGGTCGTTCACGAGTGCAATGAGGCCTGGAAGCGTCTTGTCGGTGGTCAAGCAGACCCTGCCGGTGTCAGCATCGTTGTGAGTACGCAACGGTCTTCGCACATCACTTCATCTCGAACATCGCAAGCACTTCCTGACTTTTGTTTCTGATTTCTCCATTCAAGAACTCTACCCAACAAGGAACCAAGGGCTTCAACGACTCTAGCATTGGCAACGTGCCAGCTGCCAACCCTCAGCCTTCTGGTCCCATTGACCCCAGCATTGAGTGAGTCATCATGCATCCAAGTCGGTCATAGCTGCAAAGAAAGCCCCATCTGATACTGTTTTCAAACTGTTTGCAGCAAATGGTTCTTCATCTCTTCCTCTTCGATCTGAGGACGGTTTGGACTCTAGAGAGTGTGTCTGGCGAGATGTAAGCATGCAAGTGCAATGCGTGACATGGAATTTTCGCTCCAAATGCTACATAGGGCCGCCGTCTGTGAAACGAGAAAGACGATGGGACCCCACAATGTGCAAAGGAATCCGTGCAGGGGGAGCAAAAAGACGTCTTTGTGCGTTTTCGTGAAGTGATGCCGATCGTGGACGTTTCGCTTTTTCACTTCTTTTTTTTGGCCACAGCCTTGTTCTGGCCTTGTTTGGCTTCTTCTGGGAATGCCAAAGGATTGCCTCCGGGCTTGACCTGAACTCCTACACCTGCGACGAAAGCTAGCCTGACGAGTCCGATGAAGGCGTACCCAGCAATGTTGCCCCAATCCTGTCCGCGCCATTGAGAAGTGTCGTTGAGCTTTCCTTCAAGGGAAAGGCCCCTTGCAAAGCCGAGCAACATGAAAGCATCCACGAAGAAGATGGAAAGGTTCAACGTTTGCCACAGCGCTGCGTCGGCGCGTCGGATGGGGATGACGTAAAGAGTCGAGATGATGTGAGAGGCGAAGGTGGAGGTTGTCAATCATCGGAGAGGGAAATTAAGAGGCTCGGTAGACTCTTGCGAGAGCTGCACTCATACTCACCCCAATCTTTGGGTCTTTTGGTGATGGCAAAGATTTGCAAAGTGATCAGAGCGACGTACCAACCTGCCATACCATCCAGCAAAACCCTCGTCTCTGGCGCAGGCGGCCAGACCGGACCCCGCTTGGCTCCGGTGAAACCTGCCAAGACCACATTCTTTGCGGCGAAGATGTGCCCGTAGGTTCCAAAGATTGGAAGCAACAGGTCGAATGCTCCAAAGAGGACGCGGTAAGTTAGGGGCATCTGAAAGGACATGGTGAAGGTGCGATTTGAGAATGCGGCTTTGTGTATAGAATGGTCGAGCGAGCGAGATTCAAGTCTCGGTACAAAGCGGATTCGGAGAATAGTGGAACTGGCCACTCGTAACTGTTTCGGTCAATTGGATGCCAAAGATTGCGAGGCTTACGGAGTTCAAGAGAATTGCAAAGCAAGGCGCGTTATCTATATATATGTTTGTGTGTAAGGAAATCGAGTCGTGATCGAGTGTCGCTCATCAGAGGGCCACCAGCAGCGTAGCCAGCGGCCCGACGAAGACCTTCAGAACTCGAGACCCCGCTCAGGCACGGAGCACTGCCTCTGCCCATGAAAGCTGACGGACGCTGTTCGGTTTAGATTTAAAGTGTGAGTCTGATGAGTGCATCCTGCCACAATCTGCCTGTGCGTACAATATCTGCGTAGCTGTGGCTGGCTGTACCCGCCGTTCCACAGCTGCAGGGTCAGCAACTGCACCAGCCGTGAGTCTGAGTGCCAGAAGAACATCTTATCAAACAATCACCCACAAGCTACAGTCTGCCTAAAGCACGATCGAGAGGCAGTCAAGGGTGCCCATGCCATGGTCTTGCATTCAACATCACATTCACGAGTAGGCTTGCTGCTTGCGTCGTGCTACAAGCATCACGAGCCGAGCTTATAGCTTCTTTGTACGCCCTCACGCAAGTGGATGCAATCTGCTCCTCATCAGCATGCGCCCGCGGATGCTTGGCAACGTCCTCCTCACCCCGCTGGCCCTCTAGCTGTCCTAGCTGACTTCGAATTCGACACATTCAGCATGACGAGTCTTCAGAACGCTGCAGCGGACTCTGAAAAAAAAAAAAATCGCGGGCTGACCACGTTCCTCTGCTCATGTCGTGAGTTGTGCGAGGTGAGCAACTGAGCAGCCATATGAGCGTAGGGTTGCGATACAGTCGAGAGGACACGCGCGAATTCACCCATCGCGAATAATCGTCAATCACGATTGGATGCAAAGCAACAGCGCAGGGCAGGGCTAGCACCGCGTGCATGCACCCGCGGTGCACGACTCTCGTCTTGTTCTCACTTATTTCGATTTGCTGCGCGCGCGCGCAGCCATGCAGGCTTTGGCCGAATAGCTGCTCCGCGGTCTCCGCGGCTTGCCGCGCGGAACCAACTCAGCTTTCGCGCGCCCGAGCCTCTTTGCGAGGATGACGATGGGCCACGAAAGACGACTCCCGACGGCCCATATGCTCTTCGAGACTTCCACGCGAGCACAGACAGCAGCTTGCTTGACCGGCGCCTGATCATGTTCCAGCCTGACGCGAGCATCTCTCACCCCCTCTTCGATAGCTATCGACTCGCGAGTGCGAGCAGTCCAGCAGGTCAAGAGGATCATGTTTCGCAAGCTGCGATTCAGTTGATCCCTCCTGCTCGACCCGCAAGAGCGTCGATCGACAAGCGCACAGACTTTGGCTACAAAGAGGTCGTCGCGCGAAGCAAAGATTCGGTATTCTCAGCCAATGTCGAGTACACAGGCGCAACAAATGCCTTGCTGGCTTTGCGAAGCAACCACGAAGCCGTACACGAGCGGAGAGGGAGCAGCGCCAGCTTCGCGGGCCTCTGGCGCGGGTCAGAGGGCCTGTATGCGCTCGTGCACGGCGGACAGCCGTCTCTAGACACATATGCGGGTCCAAACACTTCGAACTTTCAGGCTCGGTCAGTAGACGGTCCAGCTTTAGTGGGTCACGTTACCCTCCAGTGCTTGGAACGAGATGTTTGGGCCGTGTGTGATGCCGAAGAGATCGACGATGGGAGCTTCATCAGCTCGTTGCGCGTACTGCAGCTCGATGATGCTTCAACTGATGGCGACATCGCCGCTGCAAGCATCTCTCACCTGCAGCTGCCCAACGGAGACCTCAATGAGGCGTCTCCCCAAAAGGGAGCCCCAACTTCTTACAAGTATGGAGGCTGGGCTCTTGTAGCTGCTGCCCGACTACAAGTAGAAGGGTCATCGCACTCGTCCGGACACACGCACCAGATGTGCTTCAGAAGGCCGGTCAAATCGCAGCGGCCACGACGAGGAGCCAAAGACCAGGTAGCAAGCCGCTCAGAGATTTTTGAGAATCGCATCAAAAAGACATCTAGCAGTAGAGCCGAGACCGAGTTCCAGCTCATCATTCTGCGCCTCAAGCCGCGATCGGGCCAACATTCCGACGAGCAAAGCCCTGCGGAGCTAGACATTCGCACCTCTCTGAGATCGAGAGAAGCGCCGGAGCATGTCATACTGGATCCTCTGGGCCAGAAGCACGAATTCTTTTGCTCCTCAAAAGTGGAGCTCTGGGAAGAGGAGAACAAGACTACGTCGTCAGCAACTGACATCGACGATCGCAGCACCGCACAGAGCGCTCCTCCGCAGACGTCTGTGCATGCTTCGAGGCTTTCCCCGGCTGCTCGACTCCCACCGTATGCTTGGACGCAGACGAGCGATACCCTCACGCTTGCCTTTACGCTTCCAGCGACAATCAGCAAGAAAGATGTCAGGGTGCACTTCTCACCTCGAGGACTTTCAGTCAGCCTCGCTCTGCAACAAGCTTCACTCGTAGAGGTCGTAGATGAAAGCTCATCGATCGATGCGGATGGGGCGGCAGGTAGCCTGCACGCGGTAGCTGGAGACCTGCGCCAGGGCCGATACACGAACTTGGCCCTCTGGGGAGACATTGACGTGGACGGGTCTTTGTGGACCACAGAAACGCTCAGGCCGCATCGTCCTCGCATTCCTGGCTCCTCTTACGAAGCCAGGCCGAATGCAGGATCAGACAGCATCCTGCTTACGTTGCATCTGGAGAAGCTCCATGAAGGCACGAGGTGGCCGTCCGTCTTCTCCTTCGAGCAGAATGCAAAAAACGCTCGCAGTGTCGCTTCGCCCAGCAGTCGAGCTTTCGGTAGCCTCTCGCATGCACGACCGGCTGCATTTGCAGCAGAGGAAGATGAGTGGGAGCTAGAGGAAGTGCCGGAAACCTTGGACCCCTCCGAGCTGCTGCAGCAGCTACAAGGATTGGAAAAGTATACTGAGGACGACCACACGCAAGCTCTAGGAGCGACGTGGGGTGGGGGCTTATCTTCGTTCCGCGAAGGAGCTGGAATGGGATCTTCCACGCAGGCTAGCTTGCTCAGGGACGGGCTGGAGGAAGAGGATGCTGTTGTTGGCCGACGATGCATCTCGAGTACGGTAGAAGCGGAGGGTGACACACCGAGCAGCCCTGTGCGAATCACAACGGAGCGCGACGCTTTGACGCTGTTGGCGCTTCCACTGAGAACCTCGCAACCTTCAAGTGCTGCGCTGTCGAATCTAGTGATAAAGTCGGACTTGGATGGTCAGCTTTTCCAAGGTGCGCAGTCGCAACGGCGACATGCACAGACATTGCCTGCTCTATCCTTTGTGTTGGCCTCGAAGAGGGATGCTCAGCGGGTCTACGTCCACGTCGAAGAGGCTGCAGATTGGTCCACTCCTGCGTGCGCATCGCATCTTCCAAAAGCGCACGTGCTAGCCTTTGAGCCAGCACCGATGATAGCATTGGAGCAAGAACGGCCTTGGGACGAACACGCGAGTATCGGCGCTGGCAATCTGTTCGTCTATCGTTCGCCAGAGCAGCTGAGCGGAGCGACGAGCGCAACGAGTCGAGTGATCAGACTTGGCCTGTCAGATGATGCTCCTACGGACTTGGCAGAGAGATGCGACACTCCCACTGCATTGCAGGGCGCAAGCGGAGCGCTCATCGATGTTGCTGCTGTACGCCCAAGAACACCAGAGGCGACATTCGGACGAAACGTGTTGATCTGTCTTTGTACACATCAGATTCTGCTGATTCGAGGGCTTCTGTAATACATGCGTCGGCTCAGAAGTCGTCGTCGTGCGCTGCATTCCAGTTCAGTGTTCAGCGACCCTATGCTTCAGAAGGGTCTGACACGCCTCTGAGAAGCCCAGAGAGTGACGCACATTTCAAGGTCCAAAGCATTACTCGAAGCGCAGCATGTTGACGTTTGTATGTATTCTCATTTATCCTGTGAGTGATTAGCAAGATACAAGATAATCTGGACCCCAACCGAATCTAGTAGCAGACTCGTCATCTTTTCTTTCGGTGTTGCAAGCTGAAGTCGGAGCGATGAGCAAAGTCCGTTCAGGCGGGAAGCTCGCGCTTTGACAGGAGCCCTTCCTTCCTCTGGCGCTCTACTTCTTGTTGACTCTGTCGAGAACGCGTTGACGTGCTTCCTTGGCATCGCCGTCCCAATCAGCACCGTAACCATTGTTCAGCGCACGCTTGACGCTCTTGTCCGAAACCTGATTGTCCGTATTTCCCACCACATTGACAATTCTCCTCATCCAGTCCGGTACAGCTCTCATCCAAGGCAAGATGCGCATAAACTCTGGCATAATGACGTATTGAGACAGACCACTGTCGAACGCATCCACGATCGCTTGGCCTACTTGGACGGGCATCAGGTTGGGCGTGATAAAGGGATCCGCGTGATCCTCCATGCCGTCTCCTAGAGCGGTGCGAACCTTGGTAGGGCAGCAGATGGAAGTGCGAATCTTGCGAGAGCCATAGCGAGCGTTGATCTCTCCGGAGAGGACCTCGTGGAAAGAGAGAGCAGCAGACTTGCTGGTCGCGTACTCTGCCATTTGCGGCAGGGACACTGTGCAATCAAGGCAGAAAAGGCTTAGCATTTGTCCAGCGTGCTGTGCTCGCAGCTTCCCTTGCTGCTGGCGTCTGCAGAAAGTACTCACTGTAGCTCGCACTGCTAGCCACTGTCATGATGTGTCCGTGGTTCGCCTTGACCATTGCAGGGAGAAATTCCTGCGCGGTGATCCAATTTGCGAGCGTGTTGATGCGCCACAAGCGAGAGATGGAGCCAATTTCAGCCTCGAGGATTAGAGATCCGTTTGCAACGCCTGGAGAAAAGAGGCGGCGCGACCGATTATCAGCGGCTATTGCGCGCAAAGCGCACATCGATACAGCGGGCAAAAGAAGCGTGCAAGAGGCTTCAAGATGACACTTTCGTAGCTCGAGCTGTTGAGCATGGCAGGCGCACAAAGGTCCACGCTTTTCTTTCCTACGCTTCTCTAGTTGCAAAGCCAGCCTCCAGCGATCCTGTGCCGCGGCGACTCACCTGCGCAGTTCATCAGGATGGTTGGTTCACCGAACTTGGCGCGAATCTGATCAGCAGCCGATTTGACCTGAGCGGGGTCAGAGACGTCCGTCTTGAAGTAGAGGATCTCGGGTGCTCCAGGGGGAGCCTTGGCGTAAGAAGGAGGAGCCATGTCCAGCACAGCGACTTTTGCCCTCTTGTTGTGCGACAAGAGCTCCACAGTCGCCTTGCCGATACCGGCAGCCCCACCAGTAATCACCACCACTTCTTTCTTCCAGTTGGGCCTGTCAGGCTTCCATTCTCCGTGGTTGCGAACATAACGCGTAGCCAACTTGTTGAATCCTCGAAGAAGAATGAACAGCCAAACTTTTCCCAGCCAGGGGTATGTGTCCTTGACCAGCGTCTTCAAGGACTCGAGCGAGGGAACGGGATAGGAAGAGATATCCGTAGACACGTTTCCCGACGCTCTTTGATCCAGAAAGTATGCCAGGGCGGGAATGAGAAAGAGGGAAAGGGGACTCAAAGCAGTTCGATCGAGGATCCACTTCAAGTTGTCAAAAGTGACGTAATTGCCTCTGAAGAAGAGCGTCGGCTTGTCTGGCTGTGTATTGGTCGACATGATGGGCGATGAATGCGTGCAAGTGTGGTGAGTGGCGGGTCGCCGAAGGTGAGCAAAGGAGCAATTGGGCTGCTTCTGAGAAGATGGTAGGAGGTGGTGGTCGTGGTCAAGGAGAGCGGCGAGTATTTCAAGGCGTCGCGTAGAGGCATCATGACGATACGCATTCATTCGCGGGTGCACTCGCTTGCGAATTGAATCGCGAATCGCAAAATGTCAATGTGAATGCACCACCACGGCAGTCACGATCGACATCACCCAGATTCACCGCTCCTTCCCACCGAGGCGAGCTTCTGCTAGCAGTAGGAGTAGTGCTGCTGCATGGTGTGCCTGTCTGAATGCGGTAAGGGCACGCAGCAGAAGAATAAGCGTGCGTGTGGGATCATCCACCCAACTCCGAGTTGCGAGATACCTGAGCTCTATAGCATGGCCGCACATCAGACAGACGTCAGGTGCGGTGGGACGCTCGCTGCTGCTGCTGCTGCATGGCAAGCGCAGCAGCAGCACCAGCTATATATAATAGAAGGCGTCACAAGCGCGAAATCGTTGGGCCCTGACTGGATGACTGCGATTTACGACTGAGCATCTGCACGCGCGTGCTTTACATGCGGAGCTACACCATGGCAGCGCAGCTGCTTAAAGTAATCAAGTACCGGGGCTCGGGCATCAGCAGGCCACGCATGCGCATGCAGCATCCCCCATCACCGAAGCGGGGCGGTCCAAAGAGAGGATGAGGATCAGAATGCTGCGAGGCCAGGCCGCTGCTATAGCAAAGCTTTCATTCAACCCTTCAGGCCTCTCACGACTTGGCAAGCGCTTCAATAACGATTGAATAGTGACAAGAGTCACGATCCATGCCCGGACTTGCGGCTGGTCAACTCGAATTGAAAGTGGGCAAGCCCCCACGAATCCTTGAATCTTGAATCTGTGAATTGAAAGTGAACGCATCATGCCGAGCCGTCCTCATCAGCAGCAGCCATCGCTCGCTCGCTCGTTTGAAAGCTCAACGCGCGGCCCCAATGACCGCAGAGACTCCGTGCCTCGCTGACCGAGATGATTAGCCGAAACGCGCATCCATGGACATTTGACCGATATGTCTGCTCGTCTTGTGAATCCTTGTCGTATCTCGATCTGCACGACTGGTGGCGCCCCCCTTTCGCTCGCGCGCGGCGCGTGGCTGCTGCTGCTGCCATGGGCATGCCGCGTCCAATCTCCGAAAGCGTGAGTGTGAGTGCGGGGTTTTTGGTTGATCAAGCCCTGATGATGATGAGAACTCGACGACTCCTGGCTCGACCTCCCACGAGCACGAGACCTTCAAGTCGCTTGCGACGCCAACGAAATCTTCTAACTCCACTGCAGCAGTCGTTAGTCGTAGACTAGCGGGAGCAGGAGCAGGAGCAGGAGCAGGAGCAGCAGCTTGGACGACGCTATGCAGCGCTGCATGCTTTCGTCGCGCTTTTTGCACCGAGTCAATCTCGCGTCGGAAGTCGGTCATTCGCATTTTCATATTCGCGAGATCCGAAACCCGACAAGAAATCCAAATAAGCGCTTCGTGTCTCCCTCTCTCTCTCTTTTTCTCTCCCTCGCCTTTCTCAATTTGCCACCACGTGCACGTCCGCACGTCGAAAGCGGACGTCAGTATTCCATTCATGATTGTGCTGAAATTCACGATTGCTCCACTCGTCCCACACAATGACCAAGCCTCTCTGCAATTGTGCGTGCAATGGCAAGCCTGGGTCATATCATTGTCCTGCTGCTGAACAGGTCTCGCAACTCGACCTGAATGCATGACATGCCAACCTGTACGAATCTACAATGACTGATTACGGGGATTCGACAAGGCTTTCTAAGGCTTGTATGCGTCCTCCACGAATCTGCTGACAATCAAGCGTTGAATTTGAGAGGTCTAGGAGCGTGAGGCGAGTACAAGTGGATGCGAGAATCAGCGTCGGGTCGCTCGTGACTAGCAAGTAATGGACGCGTGGGGTCACACTCACTCCCTCGTAGATCTCGTAGATCTTCGCATCTCTGTACAGCTTCTCGACCGGAGACTCCGTGTTGAAGCCCATACCACCAAAGACTTGGACCGCACTATCAGACGTAATGATGAGAGGGTCAGCAAACGCAGCAAGGCATGCACTGCGACGTGATTGGTCAAGCGTGACTTACAGGTTGGCATTTGAGACGGCGGCACGAGAAGCCATGCACTTGGCGATAGACGCGTAGTAGCTGTTTCTCTTGCCACTGTCTTTCATCCACGCAGACTTCCATGTCAGGTTGCGGCTGGACTCGACATCCATCGCCATGTCAGCAAGGATGAAGGCGATGGCTTGGTGCTGGATGATGGGCTTGCCCATCGTCTTGCGCTCGTGAGCCCAAGTGGCTGCTTCGGTCAAGGCACGTTGAGCCAGACCAGTGGCTGCAGCGGCGATCAAGGGGCGCGTGCTGCGGCCGGGAGGGGTAGAGATCAGCAAAGCGATACCGAGCGTCTGTAAAGGGTCATGCTCATTGCTCACATGTCGAAAGCACCCATAGCTGTCTTGAAACCATCTCCTGGCTTGCCAAGCACGTTCTCCTCAGGGACCTCGACGTCCTCAAAAGTGATCATGCGAGTGTCGGAACAACGCTGGCCCATGTTGACTTCCTGCCAGGTGTGAGCAAGGCGCTTAGCTCTCGTGTGATGCAGCAACCCCACGAAGGAAAGAGATAGCCGCTGCTCACCTTCTTGCCTTTCGTGATGCCCGCAGAGTCTCCGTCCACTACAAAGCCGGTCAGTGCCTTTGATCCAGTGGAGTTGGGGTCAGTCTTGGCCAAGACGAAGTACCAGTTTGCGTGGCCCCCGTTCTGCGTACCGCGGGGAAGCAGCGTCTGTGAGCTCGAATTCGACTTCACGAGTACCTCGACTCCTGGAGCGACTCACAGTGATCCACATCTTGGTCCCATTGAGGATCCACTTGTCGCCCTTCTTTTCGGCGCGAGTGCTGATGTTTGCCACATCTGATCCTGCCCCGGGCTCGGTGACGCAGTATGCCGCAACAAGGGGCTCCTCTGTCATCCTGCCCAGGTACTTAGCTTTGGTCTCCTCGCTCGCAGAGACGAGCAGAGGCGCTTCGGCCAATCCGTTGGCCTCAATCGCAGTCTGGATACCAGAGCAGCCGTACGCGAGCTGCTCAGAAATCAAAGCTCCCGGAAGCACACCGAGACCCAAGCCGCCAAACTTCTCAGGAATGTGCGTGTTCCTGTGATAACCGATTAAGTGCTTCCAAAGCGTGAGCAGACTTGGCGCGATGAGTCCGTAGGCTCATCTTGACTCACACGAGACCGGCAGCGTGTGCCTTCTTGATGACCTCCCATGGGTACTCCATGGTCTCGTCATGATGCCTGGCCACGGGAATGATCTCGTCCTGAGTGAAGCGGCGAGCAAGCTCTGCATAGGCCGGAGGATGGTTAAATCGAGAGATTTAAGGAAGAGTTGAGCAAGACGCCTGGGTGACTTACCAAGATACGCTTCTTGGTCCTCAGTTAGTCCAAAGCTGGGACCGCTGGTGCTCGACTCGAAAGAGGTGATGTTGCGGCGAGGAACGATGGGCGCGGCTGCTCGCAGAGCCATGCGCGATGAAGAGGGCACTGCCCGAGGAAGACCAGCACGGAAGAGCGACATTGTGAATGCTGTATGAAAATGCTGTGTCCAAGTGTCCGAGGAGAGCGGAATTCAAGGTGTCGTGGTGGTGGCAAAGATGTTTGCCTGAAAAGTGGAAGAGCCTTCAACACTTGATCAGCCCATCGAAGTAAGTAATCGCACGCGTTCGCGCCAACTCTTCTGAACGCTCGATGAATTTTGTCGCAGGACCCCTCCCTGCTTCGCCTTAACCTCGGCCTCACAGCATCGGCCGCTGATGGGCTGTACTGTACGTATGCAGGCGAACAATTGTGTGAATGCGGCGCACCAACACGTTGCAACCGAGCATCAGCGGCTGCCCGAAGCCTCGGGGATGCATCTGAATCGTGCATCAAAGTCCAGCCAGCAGGGATCGAGAGACAGGTGCTGGACAGCCGTCCAGTATTGCCTCGGGTCCGCCGAGTGAGAAGAGTCTCGTGAGTCTGACGAGTGTTGCCACGCTTTTACCCAGGGGCTTCCTGGCGGTTGCTGGCGATGCCCCTTATTTCAAACCTCCGCGAGGCCGGGCAACGATCGAGCGCAAAAGCCCGAGACGAGTTGCTGGCTCAAACATGCCGCCAAGGTGACTTGCATGCCGCGAGCAATAATAAGCTTTCTTTTGCGCTCAAGTCAGATGCGTCTCCTCAAACCCGTGAATAATCGCTGCTTTATGATTGTGAATACGCACGCTAATTGCGCCGCTTAGCAAAGCGCCCAGGTCCACGCGTCGCCCCGCGCCGCGCCGTGCCTCGCCTCGCCATGCAGCTTCGCAGTGGCGCTGAGTGTACTTTAGAGCGGATTCACGCGTGCATGAAGACCTGACCAGGCCGAATCTTGATGAGTCGTGAATGCCGAAGTGACCGAGCCGATTCGCCCGGTGCACAAAGATCACGTGAAATCTATCTTGCAGGCGCTCTCGATCTGGCAATTCCGCCAATTAGGACATATGCGCTCGGGGACGGTGAACTTACTCTACCTGCGACAGTGGTGAGTGAGAAGCTGCTTCTGCACAATCGATCGTGAGTGCACGGAATCGAGTGCGTGGGCTGGATCAAGCCAGCGTCGCATTCACATCCACATTAGAACATCGTCGAGAGACGGCGCACGACGAATCGTAGATGCCGCTAAGTATGGTGATACAAGAAGGTGATAGAACACATGACGTGACGTGACACAACGTGTCGTAATGACAACCAAGGGGAGCCTAGGGAGGATTATACACTTTTGACTGTCTTGAATCAAGCAGCTGACGGCGCCTCGAGCGGTTCAGAACAAAGCGAGCGGCGAGTACGTCGTACCTTTGCGACACACTCTCAAGAAGGTGGAGGCCTTTTCTTGGGTACAAAAAGCGAGGCTGCGGCTCTGGGATTGACTCTTGGAGGCGGAGGTGCAGGGCGAGTGCGAGCGAGAGGCAATGTTTGACCGCTCGCTTGTCCTTGATTGTGAGAATCTGAAGGTCCTGCACCACCATCAGGACCACTGAGCGAAGGGCTCGGCGGTGGGCGCAGGTACTGACCAAAGTCACCCGTGAGAGGCGTCGATGGGCTATGTATAGCAAGGGCGGGCGACTCGGGCCCAGGGTGGATTGGGGACGTCGTAGAGCCAGCTGCGCTGGGCTTCCTTTCGCGAAATGGCGAAGAATGAGGATCTTCCACGAGCTTCCATCGAACAATCCTGCATAGGAGAGCAGGAGAAATACGGTCAACACCAATGCCAAGACTTGGTGACGAGAGAAAACTCACTCTTGCGCGACGCGCGCATCCTCTAACGAGCTGTGTCCAGCGGCACCCGCAATCTGGATCAGAATACCAAGGTGACGCTTGGCGAGCTCCCTGAGGCTGAGTCTCATTGGCAGACCTTTCGAATGAGGAAACAGCAGAGCCGTGTCCGCGACGCGATCGTGAACCAGACGCATCGCTCTCAGGTCGTTCTCCAATCCATGACCGATAAGGACCGTCTTGGGACCCACGAATTCGGCCACTGCCATTTGCGCAGCTCCCAAGCTCGGGAAAATTTCGGTGGCCGCGTCGGCTTCAAAGTCAGCAGCGCTGACACCAGAGAAGCGCGTATTGTAGTCGATTGCTGGCGCTGAAGGTTTGATCAGCTGATCCACGAGGACCTCTCCGCTTTCGTCCACCAGCGTGATCCTGACGATTGACATGCCCGCGGTCGTGAAGATCAATTCTGCATCTAACGCGACAACATCCTGAGTTCTGCTCCAAGTATGTTGGGAATCCGTCTCCGTCATCTCGGCTCTGATCGCCGCAATGCTCCTGAAGGGCTCGTATGCGTGCAAGACTTTCACATTGTCGGTCTTCCATACGTGTGGGCCGCGCGAACAAGTGTGACCGTGCGCGGATGAGGATGCTTGATTGAAGCCTGCAGATGCAGCGACGGATGCAAGAGAGCTGGGAGAGCTGAAAGATTGTTCTGTTGCATCGCAGCAGGTGTAGCGCACAATCCTGCCGGCTCGACGACTTCCATGCCCAGGCTCTGATTCGTAAGACTAATGGGTGGGAGTGTCCAGCGGTGCAGGTTAGATTTGACCGTGCTGCAAGCGGATGAGGTCGTCGCGACTCACCTTCTTGCCCCAGTGATAGCTGCACGCTTTTAGTTCCTCGCGAGCGTCTTCGAGGAGCATCGCAAGGCTTTGAGACCCACTTTGATCGGTGCCCGATGACTCCTCGAGCTTCTTCGACTTGGAAGCCCACATGCTCTCCTCACGAATCAAAGCGCGTACTTTGAAGTGTTGTCCACACCTGATGCATTCTCTAGTCGTGCCAATGCCTTTGGCAGAAATTTCTGCCTGTGTGCCGAGTCTCTCGTTGAAACGGATTTCTGGACCTTGCTTGTCTTCCCTGCCAGAGGCCTCATGGTCGGCTGCCGTTTCAGGATTTGCGCCCCAAGCTTCCTTGATGACCTTGTCGGTGGGATCGCCTTCAGCAGTGTCGAATCCAGCCGGGACGGGAAATCCAAACTCTGGCTGACAGAGTTTGTGAGGGGGCGCTACAAGAGCATAAGCCTCAAGCCGCTGCAAGCTGAGACGACCCTTTTCACGCTTCTCCATGACCTCTTTGCGCTCGCCCAGCTCCTTATTCAGACCGACGTGCTCGGAAGTCAGGATGATCGAGATGGCCTCGGCACGCGCCGCGGCGGTCCAATCGTAATCTGCAGATTGTCTGCTGTTCTTCGCCGCCTTCTTGATCACTTTGAGAGCTTTGCTGCCCACTTGGTTGAGCTCTCCGATGGCTTTCGGATCTCTTGCTCTCTTGGAAAGCTCGGCAAGCGGCGCACGCGCGGTAGACTTGTAAGTTCCGGCGTGCGAGATGTGGTAATCGCCAGCTTCTTGTCTACGTGCATGTCCAGCCGCGATCTCCAAGACGGCAGATCTGATGACCTCCTCAACCTTCTCGTCGACATCAGCTCGTTTCAGACACTGCAGCAGTCCAGCGTAAGCCTTGTTGAAATGCTGGTACAAGTGGTCCAGCATCACATTGCGGTCATGCGGGGGAACCTTACCGCTCGGCTTGACTGGATTGATCTTGACCATTGGCGCTCCACTCGCCCCTCGGACTCCTGCTTCGGGCCATGGTGTTCTGAAAGCGAGATCCAGCGCAGGGTAGTGCAAAGACGACGAGGTAGGCACATCGGTCAGAGCAGTCTTAGCCTCGCTCTGTGCCGACGTTGGTGTTGCAGTTGATGTAGCTGTACTTGTGCTGTGGCTTAGACTGATGCCGAGGCTGTATTGGCCTTTTGTCCGATTCAGATCGAGTCGGGGTGGCGCGTTGATCGTAGTCTTGCTTTGCTCGCCCAAGCTCCGTGGAGGCATGGAGGCGCTTGAGCTTGGCTGAGAGGCACCTGGACTTGGTGTTGGAGCAAGCTTGACTCCGCTCGTGGTCTTTCCTCCGGCAGCCTTAGATGTCGCAATTTGGTTGCTTGTCATGCTTTCTCTGCGAATTGGCTGCGTACCTCCACTTTCGGGCGGGGCCAGTCGCGGGGAAGCAAGAGCCTTGGGCTCAGCAGGAATGCTAGCCTTTGAGCTCAAAGGCAGCGGCTTGCTCTTCATAGCCGGTATAGTCTGTTTTCCGACTGGATGTCTGGTGGCAGCGACGCTAGGCTCTTCGTGAGAAAGGGACGCCGTGAAACGCGGGTGAGTGACGCCGACGTCAGCCTCGCTGCGTTTGAGCGAGGGCGAGGTAGGCGCTACGCCAGCTGGTCCGCTGGACTCAGGAGGCGACTTTGGCGACGTCTCGAGGATTGCAGGGTTATCTGAATACCTGCGAAAGTGTCGGAGCGTTGGATCAACATCATCATCATCTGCGAACCTCAATCGTTTGCGAGGTTGACCCTCGCCCATGGCCAACTCGGGATCGGGGATGGTGCTTGCAGAGCTGTGTGGGGCCTCAACGCTGGTTTCGAAGTTGTAGAGTGCTGGCTGGGTCGCAGTCACAGAAGAGAAGTGTGATGGCTGAATTGAAAGGTTTGAAGAAGTAGCAGGTGGTGGTGGGTGGCGAGCGGTTGGCGATACGCGCATCTTTGGGAAGAAGCGCGGCGCGTTTGCGGGAGGTGCAGGGAAGTCGCCTGGGAGAGAAGGAGCACTGCCTTGTGGCGCCTTGTTGTAGTCGCGATTACGATGGTGATGTTGACTGAGTTGACCAAGGCCCAACGCTGGATTCAAGGGATCGTAAGGATCGTCCGCCATCTTGGCACGCACAAAGAGGCGCTCTGGAAAGGCGACCGTGGTCTCTTCTTTGCCCTGACGTGTGCGTGCAAGAGTGGAAGGAGAGCAGCGTGAAGGCTAATGCGTGCGGAGTGAAGCTTCGGTGGGCGCGCTTAGCCACGACCATTCGAAGTCTTGCAAACGGCGTAGCCAAGCAGACGCAAATGGGCGGTGGAGCAGGGTTAGTGTGGTAGTGTGAGTGGCAAGTCGCGAGTAGCGAGCAGTTGCCCGTCTCTGCCTCACCCGACGCTCATCTCGCCTTCGGTGATGAGGTGGTGCGATCCCGCAGTCAAGAGTAGTCGTAAGTGAAGGAAGGTGGGACTCGACCCGGCGGCCCAAGCTCACGACGAAGGAGAGATGGGTTCGCGCGCCCAACACGCTGCTGCTGATGATGGGCGCACCACTCGTGCCTCGTGACTTGCACGAGTCCAATCAGTGAATCACGAATCGTGATCCTGTTTTTGTTTTTTTGAATCGATCGACTCAAAAACTCAATCACAATCAAGAATTAAGACTTGATTGACAGATCGATTTGAGCGCGCACGCGCGCCGCGCGTTTGTCGCGTGACCACGGCCAAGCGCAACACTAGTGAGGTGCAGCAGCGACTGTGATCGAGTAATCCGTCTTTTGTAGTGCCCGCGCTTTGACAGACCATCCTCGACACCATCACAAACAGTCACAACAGTCGTGTATTGTCAGTCATCAGCAGATCATCAAGGAAACACCGGACACTTGACAATCACAATCACATGCGCCGTGTCAAATGACTGCGCATCGGCTTTCCCATGATCGAGATCACCGGCAATCATTAAGACAGCGAATTCAACTTGGAGTACGTATGTAGACGTGTGACTATATGATGGGACATTCATGACTGGGATTCTCGCACTCAGTCTGAAGACTTATAGGCTTTTGACATGAGTCAAGGGTCCCACCTCGACGTCCCCCTCATTGGATTCACGTGATTGTGACTCAGAGTATGAACGCACTCATCACAGCACACGCATCTTCTAAATGTGGCTACTCACAGGTGCGACCACTTGCCAAGGACGGCGTAAGAATCACTCAATCAGCATGAAGATTGAGGTTATGGGTGAGACACAACAATCGCGGGAGAAGCCGTACATATCTTCAGCAACTCAAGCCTCTCGATAGAGCTCTGATGACAGGACGATGACAGCATGGATCAGGCGTGACTCGAGCGAATGAAGGATCACGAATCTCAATCTCACCGCTCGCTGACCACGACTTGGCTACGAACGTCGATTCGTAGCACGTAGGGCTGCCATCCCATGTGACGATCTGACCAAGAGCAGCTGGCAGCCAGACATGGGTCCACTGTCGATCTTGAAGCTGTCATGGCCGCACTTTGGGCGGTCGTGACTGAGCTAAAGAGGTGAGAGCCCGAGGCCAAATCTGTGTGCTGCTCAAGTCTCCCGCCGCCAAAGAGGTCGTCGAGATTGACAATCACAAGCGAAAGAATGACGCTCAGAGCTTGCATCGATCAGTCCTTTTCGCTCATGCGGACCGTTTTGGGAATCTCGAGTTCGGAGCACTCTCCCGTCATTTGGGCGCGCTTCATGTGCTCGTGGTGCAGCCTAAACAACTTGCACGGCAATTCCTCCCACTTCAATTCCTTTGTCGTGCCTGCACCTTCGTCGTCAAAGTCCAGTCGTGCGGGCAGCGACCTGTACACCTCGAACGTCGTCACCTATCCAGTACGCCATTGGATTGATTGTATTTGTGAATGAAAGGCAGGTGTCAGCGTGAACTGACTGCAGGATAGCAAGGATGACGAATGCAGGTTTTATCCAACAAACCATCTGCCAGCACTCGCCTGGTCTAATGCTTGCAGCTCCCTCTTCTCTGTGCTTATCAATCCTTCCACGCCATGCGGAAAGCCAGCATCGAACCATCGCACCCGAGGGTCGTGATCCCTGTCCTCCGCAGCGCGTACTTCCTTCTCGCCATCTTCCTTCTTGATCGTCATATGCCTGACCAAGATCACAGGCGCCGTCTGCGAGGATTCGTCTTGCTTGGGGGTGGATGGAGCATACAGACTGCCGTGCTTCATACGGATTTGCAGCGGCAGCGAGTCCAGATCCAGATTTTCAACATTGAGGCGCACACCAAAGATGACCCTGGAGCCGGACGGAAGTCGATAGGTTCCTTCTGCCACGCACGGCTGGGTAGCAAAAGATAAGCAGAAACGGCGATGAGTCGGGCATGGCAAGCAAGACCATCCGACCATCCCCGCCAATTTTGAGACATCCGTCGGCGAGCTCACCAAAGATTCTACCTCCTCGATCTCGATCGCGTCCATCAATCCCGCTTCTCTGTGCGCTGGTGATGCTATCAAGCCCAACATCATCTCCAGATCTGAGCTTCTATTTCGTGCCACGGCTGAGAAGGGGTCGTCAAGGCTGAGCAACTACTCACACTGGGGCTCCTCCTCCTCAACGGTGCGTGCGCATTCCCTCGAATGAGCCACACTCCTCAGATATTTCCCCTCCACACTCTCAGCTGCCAAGTATCTCGCGTACAACTTTTGGTCCGACTTGTCCTCGTTTCTGAGCACAATGGCAGCCATGATGCTGATGCCACATGACAGTGCGAGTGACATTGCTGCGTGGCTGTGCGTGAATGAAGTTTCCTGAAGGAGGGCGGATGAGTGCGCTGCACAAAAGAAAGGAATGTTGTGGAGAGACGTGTGAAGCCATGCATTGGTCAGATGGCTTGTGATTCAGACACTGAAGAGCTGGAAGCTTACGCGACGCCCAATCAGCAAAGGAACACCTGAAACATCCACTGCCGTCAATAAAAAATCCTAAAACCCAATCCAAAGAGGGCCGAGTCGTGAGTGAGCTTGTCTGCGCCGACGTCTCCAGCGCCATTATTGTACCAGGCTCAGATTGCTTCATGTGATCAGATGATGAGCGCCGTCAGAACAGTAGAGTACAAGAATCGCTCAACAGCATTGGTGGAAGATGATAGCATTGTCCCTCAAGTAATCTACATCGGCTTCTATCCGTTGCGCATAGCTGCCGGACCAGTGACTGCGCATCACGCGAGTGCTCTCAAAGCCTTTTCGGTAAGTTCGAGCACCTCGTCAATATCAGGTCTCTTCTTCGGATCAAGCACCAAACATCTCCTGATGATGTCCTTGGTCGCTTGCGAATGAGTGCTGCTCGCTGGCTCTGGAAACTTCCAAGTGCCAGTCTGTACAGTCATGGCTACGCTGCCACCTTGCTCGACTATCTGTGGGGTTTCGAAGGGCGAGTAGCCGTACAAGTGTGCAAATAGCGTGGCGCCCAAGGACCAAATGTCGACCTTTTCATCTAGCTTCGCGTCCGTCTTGACATCGAATAGCTGTAAGTGGGTCAAGGAGTCTGATAAGCTTCCTCCAACCACTTTGACCCAAGACGTTCGCGTTCCACTCACCTCTGGAGCTCGATACGGCATCGAGCTGTGCTCAGCCGCCAAATCCTGCTGCATGATCGCCTCTCTTCTAGACTTGATATGTATACGGCCTCTGAGTGCAGAGCCAAAGTCCATCAGGACAGCTACGGGTTCCGCGAGCGTGCCATCTGCTTGCCTCTCTTGTGCAATCATGATGTTTCTGAAGCACAGAAAGTCGCCATTCAATGCGTCAGCACGCATCTAGCTTTGCTAGGACACAGCCCACGAGACCAAAACTCACGCAGGTTTAATATCCCTGTGTGCCCAGGGTACGAGATCGCCTTCTCTACCTGTTTCCTGCTCGTTATTCATTTGCAAGCTAGAGGTGGTCATCTCTGGTCTCGGTTTGGGAGGATAAGAGCCGTCGTCCTCATCATCGGCTCCTTCATGTCCGTCTATCAACCTTCTCGAATCGGAGTCATCCTCATCATCTTGGCTTGCAGGCACAGGTAGTTGCTGATCATGACTTTCCAGGTCTTCTCTTGAGTGAGCTTGCATTTGCGCTTCTTGTTGCTCGCGCTGAGCACCAACGTTTGGCAGACGATACTGATGCATGGCTTTCAAGCCTCTCGCAGCACCCCTGAAAACGAGTAGCACGTGCTTCTCATTCGCGCTTTCGCCCCGCACAGCACGAGCGTTGATCTCGTCTTGCGCATTGCCTCTGAACAGGGGCAAGAAGAGGTAGACGATGTGTCCGTCCGCTGTCTGCTCTACGCAGGAGTCGAGAAGCCGGATAATGTGTGGAGAGCGGAATCGACGAGTAGTCTCGATCTCTGCCAGCGCCAGCCGCAGAGTGGGTGTGCCAGAGGGACACCGCATCTGGTCGGAGTAGACGTATGGAGGGCTCAGCACATGCGCAAACATACCATCGCTTCCTTGTGCGCACCACCCGCGGAGCACAGCGTAGCGCTGTCGACCGCACGGTACTCTTCCACTCACTTGCTTGAGCGCAAAGTCTCGTCCGCTAGCCTTGTCTCGGGCAAGATACACGAACGAGAACCCGCCCTCGCCCAGCAGTCTAATGATGTTCAAGCTGCGTCCATTAAGCTTCAACGTCCCTCCAGCCGCAAGTCCTGATGATCCCGCCGCTCCGCTTCCTCCCGCAATGAGCGAAGACGCATGGCCTGAGGAGCCCAGCATGGACGCCAAAGACCCAGGCAGCATGTTGAGAGCTGGAGCGCAGCATGATGGGATGGATGATCCTAGCGCATGTATGGCGTCTTGAAATTGCTCAGCGAGCGACGCGCCACTCGCACCACCACCTCCAACCGCACCGTATCCTGACATGCTGCGAATGGGGATAGTGTGAGGGCAGACCGAGAGTTTGGATGAACACTATTAGAGAGCGGGGTTTTCGATGAGCTGTTTGGTGTTGCTGCGTCAGAAACTTGTTCTCCCGAGATGAGGGCTGCTTTAGGCCAAAGACGATTCAGGAGCTGAGATGCTCGTGAATGACAAGTGCGGGAGTCACGAGTGTAGAGAATGTGAATCACTGTAGGCTGGACCATCTGCTTGCTCTGCTGGGAGTCTTGAGTGTTGAGGGTTCGAGGGGGGCGATCGACAAGATGCTCATGCGCTCATGTCCGCCCATGCAGTTCAGCTTCCACATGAACGCACGCGCCACGGTGCAGCTTGGCGGTGCTGCTTTGATCACGTGGTTCAAACCGCTCATTCCACTTTTGGCTTATTTGAGAGTTGAGACCTTATATATGGTCTCAATTCTTGACTCGCAAGTTGGAATTTGAATGAAAGGTCTTGATGTGAGGATCTCGTGGAGCTGAAGGTGGCCAACGAGCACCCAAAGTACAGGTGAGTGTGTCGAAGACGAGGAACGCTTCTTGCATCTGTAAGAAAAGTCAGGAGACTCAAGAAGAGTCGTTTGACACCCGCGTCATTGGCAACCACAGAGCGACACATCAACTTCATGCTTCAGCCTCCGTGTGATTCTTGGTTTGCATTGCAGGCAATCGATGGTACATATCGGCTCCAAATTACAACAGAGACAGGAGACGAGGCAAATTAGACAATGGCAAGTGTGAGGTTCTCTCGCGGAGGTGGGGCGACAGAATGACGAGATCATTTCTGCACAGGTATAAAGTTGCCAGCAACAAGCGTGGGTATGTTCCACGCGTCTCGCCTGATGGTAAAGGAGAAGCAGCACTTGACTCTCACAATGCCAGGCTCATCTTCTTGCGTGGCCGTGTTGCTTCTAGACATGGTTTGAGCCCCTCTCAGAGCAGAGGCAGACGACTGAGCCACGCTTCCTCTTCTAGATGCGTTGCCCGAACCATTCATCTCCGCGCCGCCGTTGCTGATGCTGCCTGGCGCGGAGTTGGAAGCACTGTTCAGACCACTTCCTTGAGGAAGCAGGTGCGCAGCAACAGCAGAAGCGTTAACGCTAGAGTTGCTGGATGGCCTTCCGGCCGCAGCCCACCCTCCGCTCGCGAAGCTAGTAGTGCGTATTTTGAGCACACAAGACGTCAATACAGCCTTTTGGCCAGGATCGAAGGATACCGCGCCATATTTCTGGGCAGGCAGTGTGAAGGGCGTTGGCGATGGAAGGGAAGCGCTTGCGTCACGCTCATGCACTCACTTCCCAATAATTGACAGCGCTCTCCTCATCCATCAATTCGTATATGCACAGTCTGCCCTCTCTCAGCTGCTCTATCCCAACTCCAAGCAATTCCGCAAATTCTCGATTTCCTTTGTATATCTCCCCAGTGCGCCTCCACAAACAAGCGGGGATGCCCTGGGTGGAAAAGACGCGGTCATAGTCGAGCAAGAGTCGCTCAAATGCCTCCTCAATGTAGATCAAGTCGATGTTGGTCAGCTGCTGGGCCACTGCTCGGAAAGCCGGTCTGAAGACTGAAAGAGGCTTCAGGATCCTCCGACGTGAGGCGGGCGAGCAATGAGACTCCATCCATCTGTTGAGCCGGGCATAGCTATAAGACAACGTGCAAAGATATTGTTCGCGTGAGCACGTGGATGCTTTGGCATTGTGGGACAACAAGCTCCGACGGAACGCTTACCCGTTGACGTGGTTGTATGGCCTGAGCAAGCCGGCGTCATACTTCGCCTGGATGACCTTTCCTAACCTTTCCTCTCTAGTCGCATCATTCTGATCTGCAGCAGTCAAGAAGAACTTTTCGGTCTTGGAGCTGAAGCCTTTGAGAACCGGGGCGTAAGCGCCGTTGCCAGCACCAGCGGCCGTAGGAGCGCCTGTGACGACACTTAGTGATGCATTCTCGCCGCTTCGGGGTGTAGTGGACGGGAAGAGCGGGCTCATGGAGCTTCCGCTGGCATCTACTTCCGGGGCAGTCGCGGCGCTAGCAGCAGCAGCGACCGAAGCGGGTGTAGGTGCAGTGGTAAATGCCAATCTGGATCCCATCCCTCCAGGACCATTCATGGAAGAACTAGAGAGCCCTCGTGTCCGATGCCTCGCACCAGGAGTACCAAAAACATCATTGTTTTGATTAGAACGACGAGGCATCATTCCCATCGTGCTTGGCGAGCTCGGGGCCATGGAGCTGAGCGTCGCATCCAGCATGATCCCACCTGAACTGACAGGCGTGGAGCCCATGCCACCGGAAGCCCCCCAATCACTGCTGGGAACGACTCCGTCCCGGGAAGCGGCTTCTCCCAGCGCGTTTGAAAACAGCCTTGGGGTCGCCTGCGCCTGTGAGCTAGAAGCTGCCTGGCCCCACGCTCCTCCGTTCGAAGGGCTAGAAAGCCCCGCGGGTCCATCGAGAGATTCTAGGAACTCGCTACGCGCATAGCACAATGCGGGATATCAGCATTCGTTGTTGACGCACTCGAACGTGGTATTTTTGCTCACCTCAGAATGCTAAACTCCAAGCCTCCTGCCGCGTCGCCTGTTGCGCTGAAGCCGTGCTCATCGGCGGCTCCACCTCCCAGTCCTAGAAAGCCCGCTCCACCCAGTGCGCTAGCTCCCGTGCCTCCCCAGCTCCACCCAGCGGAAGGCAGCTGTCCAAAATTACTATATGCGCTGGCTGCGTTGGGAGTGATCAGTCCATTTGGTGGATTGGACAAGCTGGCTTGTTCACTACTGTCTGGACGAGACATCCCTTCGCCCACTGGAGGAGCGACGATGGACAAGTCACCCGGTGGTGCACCCGACGAGTCATCAGCTGCCTCTCCGACCTCAAGGTGAGCCGCTGGTCCCATTCCAGCCGGAGATCGAGCAGTCGTTGGACCTCCCTCGGGTGGCACACCGACCTTTGCATGCTGAGCACCTTCACCTTTCCGCTGTTTAGTAACCTTGCTGTTTCCAGCAGGCGGAGTGACTTTTGCAGTACCATGCGTGCTTGAATCGCCTGCAGCGCCAGATGCAGTCGCAATAGCAGAGGAAGAGCCTCTTCTCGGATTCGCAGCAGAAACGCTGCTCTGTGTAGCTTCGTCATGGCACAAATGACCGATGTCACGTTTGATGCTGCAGAAATAAGGGATGAGTCGCGCGTCAACAAGGCTCTTGACAGAAAGTGCAGCTTACCATCGAGATTGCAGCAGCCACACTACTTACCACCGTTTGCATGGTCTGCTTTCGTCGCAAGTCATATGGCTCCTTCTGCAGTAAATGCACGCAGTCCCGACTTTCCGCTTGCGAGTGTCCTTGGGCGCTGGGCCAGGCGAAGCGCTCGTGCTGGCGCTCGAGCTGGTCACATTAGCAGCAGAGGGTGATGGGCCAGCTTTTGTGTCCCCGCGAGGCGATCCAGCAAGACTCTTGACAGGTGCACGTTTTGGAGCAGAACTGTTGTCCGGGCGCACTGAGCTTGTTCGATGCGCGTTTGAGCTCTGGGGTGTGGAAGGGGATGGCACGTGTGGACGATTTGCAGCAGCTCCGCTCGGTGCAAACGATGATATTGTTGATGGTCTGGGTCCCACAGGGCGTGGAGCACTACCCGATGGAGGTTGAATTCGTGTCGAGTTGGCGGAGGTAGGCGGTCGAGCCTGCGGCCTGGCTTGAGGATGAGGGGGTCGAGGGACTTGGGGTCTGCCTGCAATGGATGCTGCACTAGCTGGTCTGGCAGTAGTCGCTGATGCAGATGCGGGCTGTTTGGTGCTCGTGCTAGTAGCGGAGCTTGTGCCCGAAGTTGTACCGCCTGATACCACTCGTACAGATGGCCGTGGAGGAGGCCTGATGGGGGCTGACGGCCTGGTGACTGAGTTGCCAGCGGCTGGGCTGGGAATCGGCCTTGAGTTTGCCGCACCAGAAGCTGGCCGTGGCGAAGGAAGAGTTGCGCTAGTGTTGCTTTTCTTGACAGGCGGTGCGTCTGTGGCACCCGATGTAGGCGTGGGCGCCGTAGAGGGTCCAGCTGGTCGCTTCGCAGGTGTCACTTGAGGCACAGTCGAGCCAACGTCCGAAGCACGTGTAGAGGACAAAGGCACTTGCGACGCACTTGCCGCCGCAGACTTTGGGGAACTTGTGGCTGCGCTCGCTTTCGAAGACTCCGTCTTCAACCCAGAGGCCTCTGAAGGCGCAGCTGGCGCTTCAGGAGCAGGATGCTCGGGCCTGGACGATATCGATGGGCCAGCAGGGGGACTCATCTGCGCATCCGCCTGCGACATGGCTGCGAGATGGAGCGCAGAGTGCGCCGTATCGAGGACGCAGTTTGAAAGACGAGGCGTCAATGCGAGAAGAGCACGGCTGGTGATGGTGGTGGTGAGGTCAGATTGACTTCGGGACGAGCACGAATGCCCTTCGCAAAGAAGATCTCAGTAGTAGTCTGAGTGCTTGATCACAAATTTCAAGAACATCAAAATCATGGATTTCATCGTGCGTCACAGCCTCGAGACGCTTGACGCGATGCCAAGAAGTTTCACTTTGATTTGCAACTCGCTTTTTATTTGAAGTCAATGATTCAAACGTCAATTTTTTTCTGGCCCTCTTCACTCTTGACTTGCTCTTGAATTAAACCGAGATTCAAATTGTGTCTTCAAACACCTGATCTCAAAGTCTAGGGCTGAAACTCTTGATTATCTTGCATCGGGATCAAGAATAAAAATCAATTGACCAGGCGCAGACGCGTGCGCATGCGCGCGAGAGCTCGCGAATCTTGAATTCAGGATTCAAGGCGGCCGGCAACCAAATTCTCGGCTACCCGGTTTGAAAGAACAATTTTGAATGTGGATCGAATCCGTGAACGTTGTGCTTTAACGACTTCAAGTCAAAAAACAAACAAACACTGAGACGAGCTTTGAAGATCTGCTGGCGGGGCGCCGAGCCTTTTGAGTTTCGACTCTTTGAGCCTTAATTCCGAAATCCTTTGAGCCGGAATTCCAGAGTCACATTTAACACTCAAGACTACTAATCACCAGCAATCTGAGTCAAAGTCAAGAGTGTGAGTCAAGAGTCATTTATTCAGACTTCCGCAGACCTGCCCTCTTACGTACGAGAAGTCGAAGAGCTCTGTATATCAGCGAGGCAAAGGCCAAAGCGGTGTTCTTTGCCATCAAGCAGCAAACCATCATCGTATGAGCTGCTGCTGTGTCGGACTCTTGACTGGGATCACGGAATCTGAGAAAGAAGCCTAGCATATGACACGAAGTGCACGCTGCCAGCGCCTTTCACGCCACCAGGACCCCGCCTGCTACTTCAATCTTCACTCTGCTCTTGACTCTCACATTCAGGCCGGACCGAGATCGTAAGCAAGAAGTATACCACGTTGCCAGCTGCCCTGATTCGGCGAGATTCGACTAGACTACCCCAGCACAATTTGAGGTGAGTCTCGCAGGCCGAAGCAGTCGCAGGAGAGCGCAGCCTCCAAGATGCACAAACAATGCCTCTTTTCTCCACTTTGTATCGCCTATGTGTCGTATCTGAAAGGTCCTTCCTGCCTTTTCTGGCTGCGATTCAGCTCACGCACATTTTTAGATCAAGCCACTCCATCAATTTGACTTCCCGACAATTTCGCAAGCCAGTCTAGGCACGAATTGGAAGGCAATCTTTAATGACACACCTCCCATTGGTGTTCGTGTCCGGTCAGACGTCCTGCATTTACGGGCATTGGAGGGTAATTCGTCAAGCAAACAGCACACAGTCACTCAGTGTTGTGGTTAGTCTCTGGTAGATCGAAGCATTGAAAGTCTCATCGCCGTCTCCGCGATCCGCAGTCGATCGAAGCCGCCTTGAGTGCCAATTTGCAGGGGAGCGGGGACACATCAATGGTCCAAGTCTACGCGCGCGACGGAGATGGAGGACAAGGGACCAAAGATGCACTCCGTGCGCGCTCACCCAGACACGAGCACGGTGGCCTCCCACCAACGATACCAGGCGGAGCCCACGCAATACATCGACCACATGGAGCTCACACGTTCGTTGCGGTGCATGGCATGACGGGCGAGGCTAGAGTCTTGGGCAGACCTCGCGGAGCTGCTTCGCCTGAGATTCGGAGGAGATCAGTAGCGGTGAGTACAATGAGGGAGGCAAGGAGCGTAAGTGCTCCGTAGTCCGGTGGGTCACTGGTTGCTGCTACTGGTCTAGTGGTTTCGTCGTCACAACTTCTCTTGCCCATGCTCTTATTCAGCTCACAGCGATTGCATGCGCTGACACAAGCGCTTTCACATGGCTGTTTGACATTCTAGGCAATGCCCCGCCGCAAGAGTCGAGAGTCGGACCAGTCCAAAGCGGTCAAGGCGGTTGATTTAGGATCTGCTCAGCTAGCCGCAATAGCACCGAGTGCCTTTGAGATGTCACCAGAGCCTACGGCATCTCTTCTGGACAAAAGCGCTGACGTCACTTCGGGTGATTCTCGTAAAGGTGTTTCGAAGGGCGAGGGCGAGGGCGAGAGCAACACGGCGCAGTCCGCATCGCCAGGCTTCAAGTTTGTCAACCTTCCAGCGCATCTCCGAGAGCGCGATCCGGACATGGACTTGATCGGTCCAGCGGGAGGTCATCCGCTTGCAGCGGCTCAATCGCAAATGGGGCAGAGAAGCGCCGAGGTGAGACGTTTGCTATTAGCGGCTGCGAAGCGCGGCATCTACTTTGATGAACACGGACGAGCCATCAGGACTCCCGATGGCCAAATATTCCCGAGCGATGTGCGGCATCATGCTGGCGCCCCATCTTCGCCGCCGGTCACCGGCGCGCAACATACAATTCCATTTGGCCAGAGCGCTCAAGACTTGTACTCAGATTCGCCGCTTCCAGTCGATGGCCACCTTACCTTCAAGGAGCCCGAGGGATATGCTCTGTCGCGAGACTTTATTCACGACGTGCCCTACGCCGCTGACCTTCCAGCTGTGGGTAGCGATTACTCTTGCGAGAGTGGCTGCGACGGCCATCATCACGGACACGACTACGACCACGATGACTACGAGAGGAGCAACGATAGAGACAGCGAAGGATATAGATTCGATGCCGACGACTTCGACCCTGATGATGGTGATCATAGTGGGATCGAAGGTGACCCGCACAGCCCGTGGGACGACGGCATTCGACATAGAGGAACCGCAAAGAAGCGCAAGAGTACTAGACATGCAACTTCCAACGAGGACAGAGGTCATGCGGGTTCAGCCAACTTTTGCGATCATGGACACCCTCTTGATAGGGCTGGTCGTCATCTCCATCAAGGGCGACATGCGCACGGAGATGTAGGAGGATATGTCTCATCACTCGATGAAAGCAGAGGCGATAGACAACGGGACCTGGAGGTCGAGTTGGCTGATCATCCGGCTAGGGCCCCCAAACCTCGCATCCCCATGTCTCGTCTTGCTTTGCTTCAGAAAAGATGGTCAATCAATTCTAGATTGCGGATGCGACGCTACTTCAAGGAGAAGGAGGCGACAGAAGCCGCTGAGATTGCTACCAAGAACGCCGCAAAAGATCCAACTGGGGCTTTGAAGGGTGCGGTCGCTTTAGCACAGGACAAAGAGAAGAAGGCGCCCACCAAGAAGCTAAATAAGGCCGAGAGGCGTGCTGCTGCGCAGGGCAAAGCGGGCACGAGTTTGGCAGCGCTGAGAGCTAAAGTCGCTGCCTCAAAGGGACAAATGGCTTCGACTGACGTTCACAATGTGCCTTCCTCGTCTCAGGCTGCACCCTCAAATGCAGAGCAGCAAGACGTCATTGATGCTGAAGCTGATTCTGCCAAGGCGATGGCACAGCAGGACGTGAAACCATCGCCGCCCGTTGCACCTCCTTTTGTGCCACCGAGCACGTCTTTCACCTTTGCAAGACCATCGCCCATCGTGCACCGCATCGAGGCGATGAGGACAAGGCTCGCAGAACTCAATGCGCAGCTCGACGATTCGTACGGTGCTGTGGCGGCCGCGACCAAGGCCTTAGAAGATATGGATCTGGCAGAGAAGAATCAGCGAAAGACGAGCGCACAAACACGACCACAGGTCCAGGCGCCTGTACCCAGCGGTAAGGTAGTCTCGACAGCCACAGAAACCCAGGCAGGCATCGCAAGCACGCTCAAGCCCGCTGCAACAAGCATGGCACCACCTACTGCCCCGCCTCCGGAACCGCAACCCAGACGACCCATCTCGACTGCACCTGATACCTCTCCGCCAACTCCGCACCAAACGCCTGTACCTAAATTATCCAGACGCAAGAAGGCTGTCATGTCGAACGTGCATCATCGCTCGAATTATGTCCCATCTCGACTTCCCTCCGAACCGCTTCAGACCTCCTCTGCGCATGGCCAGTCACCCTCGTACGGGTACGCTACTTCGCCTAGCCATCATTTTGGTCAGCATGGCGGAGACGCGAACGCTCGCCCAACATCTCCAGGACTGGATCATCCCACCGCAACGTCTAAGCTGTTCGACGAGTGGATGTGCGTATTTTGCGAGTACGAGATGCTCTATGGCGAAGAACCTTTGATGCTGCGCGCAGCGCGCAGGCGGGTCAAACTTCAAAGAAAGAGGGACAAGGCCAAAGAAAGGGCTCATCGAGCTGCTCAGGGACTACCCCTTCTAGCTAAAGGCAAAGGAAAGAAGCTCACCAGCTCGGATAGACACGATGAGGATGGGGCTTCATGGGATGGGATCTGCACATGTGGGCGAGAGCATAATCACTGAAGTCTCGATTATCGGTAGCAGCTTAGCATCGCGGAGATGTATGTTGATCTTCTTCCTTAGATTCAGATCAATGCTATCAGTCTACACCGCGACAGGCCGAGTGCATATGTCAATCCAGCCATCGTGGTCGCTTTCCTCTTCCTGATTCTGACTCCGATTTCGATCATGTATGAGTCGATTGTTGACTGCAGCAGCAGCTCGGTATCTGCTCAATCTCTTGATCTCGAGTTGCTACTTGATCAAGCGCGAGACAGCGTGATCGCTATCCGAATGAAGTGTCAGACACGGGTCGCTACAGCTTCTGGCCTCTCGGCCCCATTGGAGGGCTTGGCTTCGTTGTCTAATCCCACCATTTATCTGCTGTCACCCATCAGGAGTGATAGCCTGTCATCGCAAGAGACGAGAGAATACACGTCGATGACGTTTCAGCGGTGATGCCGACAAGATTCTCCTTTGGCAATCTTGACCTGTGAAGTGACTCCCGGAAAAGATGTGTAGAAAGGCAAGACGAGGGACAAAAGATATGAGCAGCAGAAGGCAGACTTGGGGAGGGGTGCCCCTCGGATGAGGTGTGAGAATCTTGACGGTATGTGAGATGCAAGTGATGTGTGAGAGGGCAATGACGCGTGAGAAGGTCGGTGAGGTGGGGGCGGCTCGAGTGGTCGGGCGAGGTAGCAAAAGAATCTTGAAGTCTTGAGGTCTTGCGTCTTCCCCTTGGTAGTCTCGTAGTAGCTCCTTAGTAGTCTCATAGTAGTAGTAGTTGTAGTAGCTCCTTAGTATTCTCGTAGTAGTAGCTCCTGGGAGTCTCGGGTCACGATTGGGGGAGGGGGGGGTTGGATTTATCTTTTTGTATTTTTATTATTATTTTTTGCTCTCCCGATTATTTTTTGTACTCTTTTCACTTTTTTATTTTTTTTGAGTTTTTTGTCTTATCTTTTCTCTTTTACACTTTTTCTAGTAACCCTCGGGGCAGGGGCGAGTCAAGAGTGGGTGGATGTATCTTTCTTTGTTTTTTGGTCGACTTTTGACTCTTTTGTTTCTTTTCTTAATTAATCTTTCTTAACTTTTTTGTTTTGTCTTTGTTTTGTTTTTCCTGTGATTTTTTATCATTTATTTTTATTTTTTTATTTTCTTATTTATTGTTTTTTTTTTTTTTTTT